CAAAGGGGTTGTCAGCTTCAGCATCAGCACCTCTCGGTGCCTGCAGGCAGAGGTCCGGACACTGGGCTGACCACAAACACATACATCATTAAGCATGCCAGGAACACAACTACACCTAGAGCAATCTTTTTGCAACAGGCTGGATTGTGTTACAGTTGAAAATTAATTCCTGTGGAAATAAAATATTGAAGAAATCATGATACGACTAATAAAGCTTTAATAAAGAAAAGCATATTGTTTGATATGGAGAGCCATCTGAGCCTAAGATGGCTCTGATGGATGGGTGGAATGAACTCCAGGCTTTGTCTTCCTTGGTTTTGACCGAAGTGATACAGTAAATTTTTCCAAAATGTTATCCAGAGTATCAGTGGGTTCTGCTAATGACACGGTTAGCAAATCAGAATTTTTTATTTTTCATTCATCTTTCAGGTTTCTTCTGTATAATTTCTCATTCAGAGGTTGTCATGTTACCAAATGCCATAGTTTGATGGTCTTGGTGCACTGGTGTAGTGGCTAATCTTCCTCAGACGTGTGGCTGTATTCCTGGTCTCCGGCTACACACTCCCACCTTTGTATTCATCACACCAGCAGTGAGTTGGGCAGAAAAGTACCCCTTACTTCTGTCGTCCCCCCAAAATGAATAGGCTTTTGCAAATTTGCTTCTTGAAACCAATTCCAAGAGCCAAAGCCAAAGAAGGAGCTGTAACGCAGAGCTGAGGGCATGAAGGGGAGTGGGACTGTCCCCTTGGGAAGCAGCTGCTCAGATTTCCTAGTTGTATTGTCAGATACCACATCCTGAGGGTGGCCTGTCATCTCTGTGACTGGATGTGGATTTAAAGACCACTTAGAAGATGAGGTTTGGAAGATTTACATGGCATTAAGCTAATTATCTGTGTGGTCTGCAGTGAAAGCATAAAATTATGGTATGTGCTATCCAAGAGTAAGTATTTTCTGCTGTCTGTGAAAAAGGTTTCAGAGGGTAAGCACCTTTACTGATCTTCTGGGTTTGTGTAGAGTCTTTTTAGCTGTTGGGGTGGCTTTGTGCTTCAGCCTCCCACTGTTGCATTATAATCTCCAAAGCAAGCAACTGAAACTCCTCATTTCCAGACTTTCTGAGGCTTGAGGCAGAATTTAAAGATTTGCATCTGAGAATGTGTCAAGTGATATGAGAGGCAACATGTTGAGGACTCCCCTCCCAAGACAGGTCTTCGTTCCTGCTCTTATAGCATTTGACCTACCCTCCACACTGTAACAGACAAGGAGTTTTAGCATATTGAAACTGAAAGAAGTGTGGTTTCAGGAAAATTCTTATCTACCTGAGATACTCAACTGTATTTCTGTCCGTTGTGTTCACTGCGGCATTGTTCTGGGGCCAGCACAGAGGTACCTGGGATGGCTGGGGATATTCATTGGTTAGGTGTGTCTTGGATGACTTGTTCAAATACCATTTTGTAAAACACCCACTTCAAGGTGAGTTCTTGGGAGCCATTTTTATGATTTGGCTTACTTGTAATTGCATATTTTTAAAAATCAGAAAGATTACCATCTCTAAGAACTACATCATTTGTCACGATGCAGTTGTATTGCCTTTAGAGCAGCTTTTCTTCGTCTCCTGTTTTGTTATTTGCTTGTTTTAAAGATGTCCAATGCTATTATATTTAGTGTATATTTTGAAAATGAGAAGAACAGTTGTGTTTAATATTTTAGATGACTGCTAAAATGTAGAAAATCCTTTTTGTATTCTCCCTAATTTCTGGAAGTTTTAATCTGAGAGTGATATCTGCTGTTGGACTGTGGCTCAACCAAATGCCATGTGTGTATGTTGGAAAGTTTGTATCCAGCCAGTTGTCTTCAAGGGTCAGAGTCCATTTTTAATGAAGAGCATTAAGATGTTGTTGTTTGTTTTATCAATTCAGTTCCGTTTTGGGCTTTTCTCAAAAGATGCTGATGCATTTTGTTGGTAGAAGAGGACAAGATTTTTTAAATATTGCAATTGTTAGAGCAGTATCAGGAAGGTGATGTCTTTTTAGCTGTCCCATACATCAACATCCAACAGTTATTATTAAAGGAACACCAAATATTAAGGTCATTTTTTTCTGGAGAAAACAGTGAGAGCACCATTTCCTGTGCCTATTAAGTTAGTGAAGACCTATTCAACTGCTGTTTTCTGCTTCTTTATTTTGCCAGCGTGTATAGATTCTTTGTTAATGTCTTATCACCCAAAACCCAGTAGCATCTCTAAGTCATGATATTTTTAGATTTTGCAGGCAGTAGTCCAAAAATTTCTTAAATGTTTGTGGGAAATAAACATAAAAGGGCTTTCTCATTACCTTTCATTAAATGCCTCTCTGGTTGGCTTCAGCAAGTGAAATGTACAATACAGGCCTATAAATATAGGACTATAAATACATACTCCTAGAAAGTTCTGATCCTGAGAACATCAAGCATCAGGGGCCTTTTTATGTGGCTTCATACAGTGCATTTAGTTCATTTACTCCTTACATGGTTTGGCTTAGGTATATGTGTACTCCTACAGTGCTGTCTCTCTGCCTGGTTTCCTGAAAATATAGTTTTGCAGCCTTGGTGAACAAACCCTGAAAACACAGTTACATCTGGAATCAAAACACTAAACGGGGGGAGACTAAGAACTAGTTGGTTTTGCAGTGTTTAGCTATATGTAGTATTCAGTATTGCCTTTGGCAGATATTCTTATTTGAAAGCTCACTGAGTGAATATTAAGTCAAGATTTTAATAAATCTGAAAGTACCAAATTGTTTCTTAGTCTTTCCCACTGTGGGCCAGGCTGATTTCAGATAGCTTTGTCTCATGGCTTCCTGGCAAACTTTTCAGTAAATTCTATCACATTTGCATTCTGTAGAAACCTTTTACCCCTCAAAAGTTTTACAGTTGATCTCCACTGGAGAAAGATATTTTTAGCAACTGTCTTTGAAAACTAGGCTTTTAACCAGACTGAATTTCCTAACAGTCATCAATAAATACAGAACTGTTTGCAGTGGAGTACTGTAACTGGCTTTTGAAGATAGATTTGCTATACTATTGCTCAGACTTCTTAAAAGATGATCTCAGATAGCTTTTAAATTGCATATGTAGCATTGCCAGATAAGATCACTCTATCGTAGACTTTGGTGAGAATATGTTTTTCCCCCTTTCATGATACAGGGCTTGATCCTGCATGATGCAAAGTGCCTTGACAGGGTGTAGCAAGGTGCTTATGCACGAGTGGGCTAGAATTGAGTACATGAGCCAGGCAGACCCACTGACCTTGGTGTTAGTCTTAAGCAGGTGCCTGATTGCTGCAGTGGGATGAGAATGTTCAGCAGACCATAGGCTTAAGTGTCAACCAGTAGCACAGGTAGAGGAAAGGTAGCATTGCCTTCAGAAAATGGTAACTTTTTCTCCTTCTTTTACTTGCAGGTCCTACTTAGACATGTATAAGGTGATAATATTTAGTTACCTCTTCTGGTTTGTGCTTACTATAATCTTCATAACGGGAACCACAAGAATCAGCATATTCTGCATGGGCTACTTGGTAGCCTGCTTTTATTTCCTTCTCTTTGGTGGAGATCTGTTGCTGAAGCCCATCAGGAGCATTCTGCGTTACTGGGACTGGCTGATTGCCTACAATGTCTTTGTGATCACAATGAAGAACATCCTCTCAGTAAGTAGTTGCTGCCTTTCCCCTGCCCTCAGCGCTTTCGTGATTTCACTGGAAGTGTGCGTAGTATGTTGAGTGGTCATTAAAAATCCTTTTTCAGGACTATAGCCTTCTGCAAGCACAAAGCAGACTCCGTTTTCATTCAGAAACTGTAAGTGCATGTCCAGGGAATGGTAATACATATACATTGTAGGAGAATGTGCATCCTTGTCAGTCAGGCTCTGTGAAAGCTCACAAGCTGTTTTCAAAGGGCCAGCTTCTGGCTTCTTTGCCGAGTAAAGTCTCCCTTAGAAGTCTTGTGAAAAACCTCAGTGGAGTGAGAAATGAGTAAGAAGTGCAAGATTAGTCACACTGTCAATAAGTAGTGCACTTTAATTAAACCTTATATTTAAAACTAGAATTTGCAAGCCCAGTACTAAATGAAGTTGTCGTGTGATGTAATTAATAAAGCTGACTACAGAATTACAAACTGCGTTCCCTTTTCCTTTCAAACTAGTCAGAAATTCAGGTGAAAACAGATACATTTGATAATTATATGTGAAATTCTTCTGCAAAATATTAGAGGTTTTCTTACATTAATTAACTCTTTAGAGTGGATTCTTGCAGTAACACTGGTAGGTGATTGAGACAAGCCAGTAATTTAAATCTTTTTGAAAGATAAATTTAGATTTATTCCTCACAATTGCTTTTGAGCTTTGAACGTTTTTAGTGCTGGACTGAAAAGAGCATTTTTATTTTTACATTTATACAAGTCACTGTACTGAAATAAAATTGATTTATGGGTGGTTTGAATTTGCAAATGTTCTAAATGCTTACATATGTGCTTCATTTTATGCTTGGGAATTCAGTGGAGCTATGCGTGTGTTAAGCTTGTCCATGTATGTTTGCAAGATTAAGTCAGTGATTTATGAAAGTTACTTAGCTGTCGCATTGCATCGTGTGCCAGACGTATCACTTTCTCTGCAAAAACACAGACAAAACCCACATATCTCTTATCTCAGTGGTAATCAAAATAATAGATTCTTGCTATTTAAAAGTGATCATGTCACTGGTAAAGACAATCTTTCTTCTAATCACTGTTTTACTAAGGAGATATAATACAGTCAGTGGCAGCCACAATATTCTCATGTAATGTAAAGAGGTGCAATACTTTTCATGTCTTTATTTCTGCTGTGCTTTGTTATGTGAAACAGTTTTTTTCCTTTCCAGATAGGAGCATGTGGCTACATTGAATCATTAATTAAGAATAGTTGCTGGTTGATTCAGGCATTTAGCCTGGCTTGTACAGTTAAAGGCTACCGTATTCGTAAGTATAGCTCATTTTTCTTCATCATTTTCTATAAATAAAGAATCACCTTCAAAATCTTCTACCATATGTAAGTTGTGCTTCCTCCTGACATATTACCTTGTGAAAATATCATACCTGCAAGTTCAGTTGATATAGCTTGGTCCTGTATTGACTGGCAAGAAAGAATATGGAAAATATTTCATAGAACCAAAGCATATACATATACTGAGGGAACTATCAACACTCCCACACACATACCCACAGTCAGCATTTGCTGTAAATGTAAAAAAACAAATTGGTGATACCGGCGCTTAACACAGTTTCTCTGCGTATGCAGGTGATGTGATACTTGAGGGTATGGTTTCACTGTAGAACTTGAGCTAAAATGTCATCTCACCATCACTGCAAGGAGAGGGCACCTTTTCCCAGCTGAAGGCTCCCACTCCTCTCTGTGCCAGGTCTTGCTTTCAGTGGCTCAAAGGGTAAACCAGTTCAGCTCACTGAAATGACAAGAGGCTAAGACAGCATAAAAGCAGCAATTTTTTGCAGGCCCAGTGACTTTAGGCAATTTTTTTGTTATGATTATTCTCATGTTTGCGGTGATAAAAAGGAAGAAGTGGATAATGTATGTGGATGGAGGTGAGAGAAGGGAGGACTGAAGTATGGAGAGCAAGACACTTCATGTCTCAGTGAGCTATTAATTTGGCTCCACTTTGTCCTAACACCCTGGATTGACAGTTGGAAAATGCCAGGGTTTTTTCAGGGATTTTTGCTGCTGAATTTAAAGAACTGTTTTATCCTAGTGAGTCTGTAGCAGAGTTCCGAAATCCTGTCTTTGTGTCTGATCTTAATAGATAAGTGGGGAGTAAGGAAAAAGAAATGAAATATGAAGACAAAAATTCACATGATAAATGGTGCCCAGTAGTTTTTGTATTATCCAAAACTTTTTGAGCAGCAACAGAAACTTAGACACAGGTTTCCGACTCCCCACAGCACGGGCACAGCAGGCTTTGAAGGTCTTGGAACTTGACCTTCCAGACCTATTAGACTGGCTTGCCTGCTTGTAAAGCCAGCTTCGAGCCAGAGGCTGTCCCTTGAGTCCTTCTACTCCCTTCTACAGGGCAGCATAGGCCATTTAGTTTATAGTCTAGCTCCACAAAACCCAGTTTTAATTTTTTAATTCCCTCAAGAGAACTTTTTTTTAGAGAGTAAAGAAAGAACGAACGAAAGAAAGAAAGAAAGAAAGAAAGAAAGAAATAGCCCAAGCCAAAATCTAGAGGCAGGAGGGATGTGATTTCCTCTTTGTCTGTCTCCTCCTACCCTAAAGGAAGCAGTTCTGTGGTTTTAAATATTTTTTCTCTTATGCAATGGAAAGAAACATTGAACTGAGCTGTGGAGAGAAAAATAAAAATATTAAGTGGTCACAGTCAAAAAATCATTTTGACAAAAATAAATTACTTCTTTCTTATGTTGATAGGGTTCTTAACAGAAAAATGAGACAAAAAGTCACTTTGAAATGAAAAAAAAAATAAACATGCCATTTTAAGAAATACTGAAATCAAATATTTCAGGCTAACAAAAAATGCTTTTTTCCAAATCTTTATTTTCAAGTACTTACTAGGATAGAGTGAATTTATTTGCAAATGATTTGCTTTTGATAAAGTCATGGTTTTCATGGACATAACATATTGGAAGCTTTCCAGTTTGCTGTAAAACAAAATATGGTGTACTTCAAGTGGAATTGCTTGTCAGTTTTCTTCAGAAATATCTAAATAAAGGACATAAATTCAAATTATTTTAAAGGCTAAGATTATTTAATTGACTAAATATTATGAAAGAATACTTAATACAACAGTCCTTATGCTGATGGTGTCTTTTTCCAGCAACCAACAATCTAGACTGTAAACTGCCCAGTGGAGAAGCAGGAATCATCTGGGACAGTATATGTTTTGCTTTCTTGCTGCTGCAAAGAAGAGTCTTCATGAGCTATTACTTCTTGCATGTGGTTGCAGACATAAAAGCTTCTCAGATCCTAGCATCAAGGTAACATAAAATTTTAAAAAATTAAATGAAACAAGTCTCTCATGGCTACGGTACTTATTTGTTTATGATAGGTAGTACCAAGAGAGACCTGGTATTTAACATTGGTTTAAACAATCCATGCTAAATTCATAATTGCAAACCCAACTCTGATAAGCACACATGAGAAAACAAATTGATTGAGAATCTGAAAGAAAATAAACCATCTTTCCTACAAAACACCATCTGCTGCTCTCATAGTCCTTATTAAAAGCTATGAAAGTTGATGTGTGTTGCAGCATTCTCTCAACATCAATATGTACGAAAGCAAATGCCAGTGTTTGTAAGCCTTGGAAAGAAAACACTCTGCTATCGAAGCCTGTTTGAGACAATAGGCCTTAGAAATCACGACTCAAAAAATGCCACATCAGGAAAAATACAGGAGAGTTACGACATCTGGCTCAGGAAGACTCTGAGCGTCACATCACTAAACACTGACTAGGTGTGGCAGGGAAGCATCACTCTCTTTGGGCCTGTTACTTGTACTTTCCCACAAGCATCCACTCATAGCTATCACTAGCACAACCATTCTTCTGTTTTTTAATAAGCATTAAAACATTTTAACATTAAAACATTAATAAGAATTAGATTACATTAACCTTAAAGCATTAAAACATAATTACATTAACATTAAAACATTAATAAGAACTAGAACATTTTTTTGTTTAAAAACAGAAAGGACTTCTGTTTTTAATTTCAGTAAGATTTCTAAGGAATTACTTTTGTCAATATTGGATTAAACGTATCACGGCAATTTTTCTTCTGGAAAAACATGTGCGCATTGATTTCTGTCTGTGTTTGTGGGCAAAATTTGGCTTGCATGGCCTGAAAGGAAGTCTCTTTTATCTTCCTCTTCCTTCCCCTGCAGATATTTCTTTAAAAGGGGACATGTTTAGCTGCCCATACTGAACAAAATTCACCACTGTAAACAGAACTACCAAAAGATGTATACCTCAGTCCCATATTGTCTCTCTCAGACTTTTGCTCCACGGTGAATTTCACTGCTGATGCCCAAGATTGCTGGATACCACCTTTTTGCAGCTTTTTTTGTACACTGTGTTCACAGTGAAAACAGCACAAAGCAAAGTCTTGGGTATCAAAATGCCTTCTAAATTGGAAAGTTTGCATCCAGAAGGAAGGAGCAGGCCCATGTAAATGGCACTGGGCTGGGTTGAAAGAAACATGTTTGGTTCTTACTTCCAGCTTTGTGTCTTTTGGTAAGTTATTGAACCTACTCAGGCTTGAGTTCTCCTGCAGCAAAAATGGAGACATACTGGCCTATGTCAGGAGCTTTGTAAAGATGAGTGTATTAATGACCAGGAAGTGCTGAGATGTTACAGAAAGGAGGGTGATATAAATGTAGTGATATAATTATTTTTTTTAGTTAGCTGCTTGCCTTGCTAAAATCCAAGCTTTGCATTTACAAGGACAATGGAGAAGGTCAGGTTTTGATTCAGACAGCATGGTCTGAGCCTGTCTTCTAGTTAAAGTTAATATTGTGAAATACAAATACCTCACCTAAGAGGTTAAATTGTGATTCAAACAATAGCACTGAGGATCCAGTGACAGTTTTCAATAGTCCATAGAATTTAGGAGTGATCAAGTTGCTAAGAAGAACATGTCCTTCCTTGTTGTATTTTAGCATACTTTGGGACAATAATGTTGGCCAGTCTTGATTGTATTCCTTTGAAAAAAATGCAGTCGTGGTTATCCTGCATATTACATGGAAGAATGATTAATCTCACAGAAAACATGGCTGAAAAATAAATTAGAAGTAGATTTCTGAAACTATAGCTGTTCTTACTGAATTCTTGACAAAATAAAGGCTTTAAATCTAGGCTCCTTCTTTGAGAGAGACTTGAGGCTCTTTGAGAGTCTTCAAGAGCTGATGAGTGAATAAGGAAGAATGGCCAAGACATGTGATATGGACATCCAAATCAATGAGTCAATTACATTTCTCGTGAAATGGAGTTAGAAGCTGTGTTCTTTTGGTACACCAGAAACTTGCTCAAGGATTTGTGTCATCAGATTGAAAGCACTGTAGTGTTCAGAGGGTAAAAGCTAGAAACTTAATTCCTTGAACAGCTGCTAGAGGAACTTAGAGGCTGAGTAGAGATCACAGCGTTTCCCCCCGATCTTGAAATGATTGACTGTAAACAGGCTAGTATTCTGCAGTAACTGATAATTTCTTTCAGGTCTTGGATCAGTTTTGTTTTATGCAGATGAAGTCATGTACAGAGGGAACACAGAGTTCTCTGTGATTAGCTGGCATACGGGAGACTTGGTAACGTTGAATGTTTCCTCTCCTTTTTTCATTTCTTCTGCTCCCATTGCTGCTGCAGGGGTGCTGAGCTTTTCCAGGCTACAATTGTCAAGGCAGTAAAGGCAAGAATTGAAGAGGAAAAAAAATCAATGGATCAACTGAAAAGACAGTATGTATTTAACATACGTTTATATATATACACATACATACACACGCATGTATTTCACTGATTGTTGGTATTTATCTAGCGCCTTCTTTTACAGAAATGCTGATTAGGTTTTGAAGTATGATTTTGCAATTACAAAAATTTCTCTCTGGGACTTCAGGGTATTCCAATATTATGTAGTTTTAGAGTCAGCCTTTCCAAAAAGACAACGTACTGCAGAATCTACGCTTCCATTTAAACACAGAATTACATTTCTAGGACCAAAGTTTCTGAGGTGAACATAAAGAATCAGAGTAGAATGTACTGACTTATCTGCTCCTCAGTGATCCTGAAATTGTAGTGGAAGCAGATGTTTCCTATAAATCAAGAGAGAAGATACGAACCTTCCTGCTTATTCTAAAGGTTCTTCTGATGACAGGTTAAGATGATCAGCTTTTAACTATTCCACACCTGAATATTGTATCAGCATGGCCAGATAGTCTTCTCTTTAAAAGAGTTGATCTGTATCTGTGCTGTATTTTTTTTCTCCGTTAGAGTTTCAGCTCGGTTGTAGTTTTAGGTTATCGTATTTCATGTAGCATGAATGCATGCAATGCAGATGAAATATGGAAAAAAAAATCTGGTTTTTTTCCTCTTTGTTTCCTTCCACTAATTATCCTGCTGTTCTTTCAGTTTGTCTCTGCCCATGTCTCAGAAGAGTAGGACAGTCAAATGAAAATCCCTTATGAAGCTCATGAAAAGAGTAGGGAGATTACTAATAAGAAGTGCCACATTAACCCTGCCTCACCTGAAGGTGCAAGCCTAGATGGTTAGAAAATAGGAGACTGAGACACAGCATCTGGGTTAAAAAAAACCCAAACAACAAACAGAAACTGGAACAGCAAGGGGCCTCATTAGGGAGGCTATAGTTAAGAGCCACCTAAATAGCCTGAAATCACTATGTGCTGAGGAAGTTGACTAGGATCCTGGCCCTGCTACGATGGAGGGCAATATTCTCATTGACTTTACCATTATTAGGGCTTTGTTCTGTATATATGTATTCCTGGTAAAATTTGCTGGATGCCTTGTGCTTCAGTTTCATTTGCGGTTCCTTCTCTAGTGTTTGAGTGCAAATATGTATGTTTACCTTCACTGAAAATGTTTGCATTCAACTTAACTGGCCTGTAGAGCTTTCTCTTTATACAGCAAATAAGCCACTCCGCTTTCTAGTGGGTGCAGCCAGTATGCTTCTTTAGCAACTGCAGAAAGTTTTCAAAGCTCCTCCACTACCATGCATGAAAAGCTGTAACTGCTTCCTGACCAGATGTCAAAACCCACTCCTGACAGCTTCTTCCACACCTGCATAACTGAAGAAGCATCAGAGGCTGCAGAGATCGTGCTCCCTATCTGCAAGCCTGGGGTTTCCCAGCAGATGATGTGTTGGGCTCTTGTGGATGCTGTTCTGCACTTGAATCAGTCTTATTCCAATTGACAGGATGTGCCTGTCCTGGAAATCATTCCCTTCTGTTAATTCTGCCGAGTTTGAGATCAAGGAGATGATACTGCTTGCAATAACGCCAAAGCTAATCTGTGTTTCTCTGAAAATTACTAGTTTATATTTGCAGGATGTCTGACTTCAGCAATAGAGGGTGCTTGTTTTCTTTCATTCTATATTGTTCATCAGTACTTCGTATAGTTTAGGCTGGTTAGGATGAAGAGAACTGTCAGCACAGCCATGAGTTTTGAACAACCAAGTTGTCCTGACTGACACAGCATAACTTCAGCAGCAGACGAATGATAGAGAAGGAAATCTAACCACCTACTTAGTAACAGCAGCTAGCTGAGATGAAAGCGTATTCCCCTCTCTAGTGGGTGGTTTGTCCCTAACAAATGGACAGATTAATAAAAGTATTTAAGTGCATTTTGATCACTAAAATTAGTGAATCATTTGGTTCTAATCCAGTTGTATTGAAAGAACTTATTTCTGTTGATTTCAATTTTCTTTTACTACTATTTTTAGATCATGAAAACTTAAGTCTTAAAATACTAGATTGTAATAACTTTACAGGATTGTGAGAAGGAGAATTGAAGGCTTGCCTACATCTGGCCAGAACTGAACCAATTTACAGTCTTCTGTATTTTCAGATATGTGGGACAAAGAAGAGCTTAAGGGGTGAAGATGTAGCACAAATAGTTCAGGAACAGCCACATCCCTGTGGCAAGTGGCAAGTTTCAGGAAAACCACTGCATTAGGCAGAAGTCCTTTTTTTTCTCAGAGCTTCGTTTGCTGTGTTGTAGCACCTGACAGCAATTCTTTACTTTTTAAATGATACTAATACAGTTGAGGGGGAGTAGGTAAAACAGTCATGTGATAGCAGGCAACCCAGCTCTCACTGACCAGTGAGCGAACATCTAGGCTTGACACTTTCACCCAGCCCCTTCAGAGCCGTTTAACTCATTATGTTTAAGGGCAGGATTCATGACAATGTGGAATGGGTATTTCCTTCAGAAATGTTGGAGAGAGTGTGTGTGTGTGTGGATGTGTTTAACACTTGTTTTTCAGGGTGGGTCAAAAAGGGTGAAGACCTGAATCTAGTAAGATTCTTCTTTTTGCTAGAATGGATCGCATCAAAGCCAGGCAGCAAAAATATAAAAAGGGTAAAGAGAGGATGCTAAGCATGACCCAGGAGTCCTCGGAGGGGCCGGAGATTCAGAAGGTTTCTGAAGAAGATGATGAAGGTACCATTAGCTGTTGTTGTACCATAACTGCAGTTGAGCGCTAAATACCTAATAGACCTTATAGTTGGACAAGTGATAAATTGTTCTTCAAAACTGTCATCACTTAACAAGGTAGTCAGCTGAGTATCAATTAGGAGCTTGATTCAGCCAAAAAAATTTGGGATTTTGTGCTGTAAGAAGGTTTAGAAAAAATTGTTTTCTTTGAGGTTACTTTTGGTTAACTTCAGGTTGTTGGCAAAGAGCTGAACAGCAGCAGAAGTTTGTTTTGAACAAAGTAATTATCTATAAACCACAGCGTTACTAATAGGTAGCATTCACATTTTTCCAGCAGCATTTTCTGGATACTGTGAGGTTTTCTCAGTCGCTGAAATATTTGTATATTTTTAAATGCTGTTTTAGACATGAGAACAGATAAAATGATATCTGTCTAGTGCCATATTTCCAGCACTGACTTGGGATCAGCACTTACTGGATTTAAAATTTTTGGAGCCTGAAATGTAAGGGGATTTGAGAGGAGGGAAAATATTTTCTTCTTGAAATTACAGTCAGCTGTGACTGTATGTTTTAAAACTGAACTTTTTAGCTGTTTTAGAGTAGAATGCTGTTTTAACTGCTGCATAAACCAGAGTATTTCTGCTCAGTGATCATGCTTCTGAGTGATTTTAATATTAAATATATCAAGTAGATCTAACATCTGATATGCTCATGAAATTTTAGCTCTTTTGAGAGAAATTAAAAATTATTAAGCAGTGTAAGAAACATGTTTCTCATTTTGTAAAATTAATATTTGGACATATTTTATTTTAGGAGAAGCAGACAAAGAGAAAGCCAAGGGCAAAAAAAAGCTGTGGTGGCGGCCTTGGGTTGATCATGCTTCCAGTAGGTTTTCTCAATCATCTTACAAATATGTGGATTTAACCCTTATATCCTTGACCAGAATGAAGGCATTCCCATGACCTGTTTGATTTATGCCTGATTTTATGATTGTGACTTGATAGAAGGCTTGTTTTTTTCAACAAATGATTTCTACTTCCAAATCTTCAAGGAGTGAGTTTAACCATAGTTTGAACTTCTGTGCGTTAGAAGCATAGCTAGCTCATGATACTTTGGGCATTCTTAGAAAAATATCAGATAAACATGTGCCAAAACGAATTATTTTGGCCTCAAAAGTCTCAACTCCCCCCTACTGCAAAGTACAGTATATTTAAAAATTGGAAGGTGAGGGTTTGCCAATGCGTTCTAAGATTAGTCATAATTTCTTTTTCATATACACACATCATACATCTTTTTTTATGGTTCATCAGTCATTCTACTGTCAGCTGTAGAAATCTGAGTATCACAGTAAGGCAGCAAGACTGTTCCCAGGACTAGACTGTGTAGAGATCAGATGAATATGTCTGATCACACTTTAATGTACTGTTGATGCCAATTGTTTTGTTATTTCCATTTTTTTGTGTTCACCTGAGAGTAAAAATACATTCAGCCTTGTGTAAAAGAAATAATTAGTCTGTATCACTCATATCATTGTTGCATTATGATATTTTAGTTTGCTTGTAGCCCTGTCGAGGCATACGATAGAGTTCTTCCCTACATTATGGACTGGGTAAAACAAGAAAATTGAGTAGACTGCGATCTCAAATCATATCCTTCTATCGGATCTTTGTTGAAGGAAATCAGACATGAGATATTTAATAACCTCTGAAGATTTAGAAAATATTCAAGTATATAGCACTGATCAGAGTTAAATATGAATGTCTATATTGCGCCTGGTCATTTAGTTTAAAAGAGTTACTCCAAGTAATACTTTTACACATCTACATACTGCTTCATTTACCTGTGTATATTTGTTTATAACTCCAGCCTATATATTTGCCAACAGCATTTAACAGAATCTCATATGCTTATTTCTATCAAGTCACAAGTAAACTGTGCCTCTATTTTTTTTTTCTAAAGGGCACACTGCCACTTTAGAGAGACCTATCCCTTTTCAAAAGTCTTATGAAAATAAACTGCTTGCCCTGTAGCTTCATTAAGAACAACGACAAAAAAACAGACTGAAACTATAATTTTTGAGTTTTTACTGTAGAATTTCAAGCTGTGGTGATTTTGAAGGAATGGGATATGGTCTCTTGTTTATTCACCACTGGTTTTGTAATAAGAAGAACTGCTCAGAGAGACATTGACTTCGGCTTTTACTTATTTCACCCTCATTATGTAGTATTCTTAGGTGGCAACTTGCATTTTGGTACTTAAACAGTGAGCATTCTTGAAGTTATTTACTGCAATAATGCAAAACCTTGTGAGAAACATCACAGACCCTGATCCTGCAAACAGTGGTTGCCTGCCGTGTGGCTTGCATCCACGCTCACTGAAACACGGCACTGACAGTAGGTGTTCAGATGCATACAAACTGGAAATAGAGTGATATTCCCCATCTATCCTTTTTGGAACACTGTGCTGTAACTGCAGCATTCTGCTGCACATGGCTGTTCATCTCAGTATATGGCTTTGTGGCTGTGGCTCTCTCTATATATATATTGAAGGCGTTCGAGATTGAAGCTTATGCCAATTCTGATGATTAATTTAGATTTTTATTGTTATTTTTATACCACTTGTTATAATTTTATTATATAGAAAGATACCTTATTTTGTCTATCATAGGAATTAAAATACAGTCAGGAATTTGAGTCGGAGTAGAACAGATAGGAAACATCAGTGAGGGTTTCCTCACTGACGCTCACTTAACTCTCCCTTGCAGGGAGATATGCTTCCTCCTGTGCTCATGGATTACTTACGGAGCCCCGCAAAGATCAGCAGGAGTTAGGGCCACATGCTTCGAGGTCTCAGCTTCTCCTGGGGCACAGAGTCATGTCTGAAGTAGCACAAAAGATGGTGCTCACAGCTGTCCTGGGGAGCTCTTTCCTTCTGGGCACGAGCAGATTATGAGATTATGCTGACTTCTTCTCCATGGCTCCCCTTCTGCCTCCTCCATGTCATCCCACAAGAAAAACCTGCAAGTCCCTTTTCTCAGTAGGAGAAAGTCACATTTTGCAGTAGGAGAGGGGTCCCCCAAGTCCAGTCTGGCCATGAATTCTCTTACTAGTAAAATTTGGTCTCTTTAGTGGTCTCTGTAGGTGACTAACACACTTCTTACTCCATTTTGATGTATGCAAGAATGCATTATTGCTATTCAATCATACCTCCCTCTTTAGCTGTAGAAGAGACGTAACTGCTACATTATAGTGTCCCATCAGATACACTTTAACCTAAAAATTTTAGAGGGAGATCATCGAAGATTTGTTTTCTGCCAGCTCAGGCGTTCCAAGTCTGACCAGCTGCTACTCTGAGCCTTTAAGCAACTGCACTGCAGTAGAGGTTTCCCCTAGATGTCAGACCTTATGCTGCTGATCTTCTGTGTGGACAATTTCTGCTGCTGACTACAAGATACATTTTTATGAAAGAGAACTGCAGACTACTGGCTCTTAAAATGCATTCATGTCTTTAATGCATTTTAAATTGGCATTCTTAGAAGGCCCTGTACCAAATAATTAATTTGCTCGATCCAAGAAATGTCCAAACTTTCTTTTCACCTCAGTTGAGCAATTAGAACAGCTGAAGTGGACTCTTTGTCCCTCTGCAGGATGCTCATTGATGTTGAAAGTCATAACTAGGCACGAGGCACAAAATTCCCTCTGTGAGGGAGTTTTAGATGCTGAAGTTACGAGCCAATAGAGTTCTGGCAAATTTCGCAGTGTGCTTACTCTGAGGTTTCCATGGTAGTTACGTGTGGTCATCTGTGCACAGAGGATCTGTGTAGAATTCAAGGTATGATTGAATTAAAGCAATTGTTACTTTTTCAGAAACCTATAATGAGGGTTAAAAATAATTTTCAATATAAATATGTATCGCTCCATATATCCAGATTGTGTGACATTTCATCTAAGTAACTGTTCCTTTAAATATTTCAGCTTAAGTGTCAAAATTATTTACCAGTTTTCACTGCTGAATGTAATGCTGTGATTTTGATTTTTCTCTTGCTCACTATCTTATTTTTAATTTCTTTTGTTTCCCTTGTTCGTTCATGTAGGCCTGTTACCATCTGAGAAATAAAAACATTGCTTCTGTTCAAGGATATAAGGCCTAGCTTATTCACTGTGCATCTTTACTGTATCAAGGTTTCAGAATCTTTCTGAATCCATGGGCAAAAAATTGAAACTCATTTGTGATCATGTTAATAGAATCCAAGTGATTTGTTTTAAACAAACCAAGGGTTTCCATTACCTCGTCAAAGCTTAAATGTTTGAAGCAAGCATTAACTAATACCATCCCATTCCGAAGTTTAAAGGATGCCTCAGCATTTTAAAGAGAAGTTCTGTATTTTTTGTCCAGTGGTACTGTTTCTATAAATTCATTTACTTACCTGCTGGGCTTTTTTTTACTCCCTCAAATAACCATCAGTTCCCAATTAATTTAGATATAACTGCTATTTTTTTCTAAAAAATGTAACCTAGTCACTTGATATACTTCAAGATTTTTCTTTACATTTTCTTCTCATGTTGATGTTTTCCATCAAATAAATTGCCTGAGACCTTTTCATCTCTTGCGTCTTCTCTGTTTTCACCTCTCCTGGTTATGAATTTTTAAATGACTGGCTGGCTGTTCATAGGTCTTGGGGCAGGTGAGAACAGAACTTTTCAGAAAAATAAGAAAATGTTTTGTTTCACTTAGTGGTCAGAAGTGGAAATTATTATTTGTTTGAGACGGATAGTGAAGAAGAAGAGGAAGAGGAGAAAAAAGAAGAGGAAGAGCCTCGAAAAAAATCTGCATTTCAGGTACTTTATGGTAATTTGCTTTCTAGCTGACATCTGGAAAAAAACATAGGCCTCTCATAACACAGGCACATATGGTAAAGCAGCCAATACTTCTAAAGTAGACCTGAAAAGTATTGGAAATGAAATTTCTTGCCAATTCAAAATGCACACTTGCCTGCTTTAAGCATTTCCAAATTCCTACAGGAACTATAGTGAAATTGTGTCTTCATTCACTTGTGCTTGAGGAAAACAAAAACAGAAAAACAAAGATTAAGAATCTAAGCTGTATTTTTTCTGCGTTGCAATAAAGACAAGCAAGGAAGCTGACTTGCCTCTGGCACTGCTGTAGAATGCTTTAGTGGTTTTCTGGTTTTGAGTAGATGTTACCATTCCATGAAGAAATGATCCCCAAAATAAGCGACTTTTCATGGAAAAGAGTACATAATAAAAAAAAACTATTGGTCGTAGCAGACCAGAGATATATATCCTTGGGTTATAAAGAGCCTGACATTTAAAATCACAAAAGGAGACCACATCACTTTCTCTCCTTTCTTTTTCAGGATAATTTTTATTAATATGTTTGCATTTTAAGTGACAGACTGTGTTGGAGTAAGAGGATATTGTACTGTTAAAAAGATAGCTGAAGTTGCCTAGCTGGGTTCCTACACAGAGACTGGCTGATGTTAGACAGTACCAGGCATTGAATCCACTGGCTTAACTGAAGGACTTGTGTCAAGTTAGTGAAATACTCCTGCATATAGGATTGCTTTAATCTTCATAGGATTAAAGTTCTACTTGTTGAAGAATTTTCAGAAATACTACAGAACTTTTTCAGGTCTGTAACTTTAAAAAGCTTAAGTAAACAGGTAGCTTTTTGCACGAGTATTCCCATCCAGATGCAAGCTCACATCACTGCAGAACTGGTCATCACTGAAAGCCCAGCCCAAGTGAGAGCAAACAACTGCCTCTGTGCTCTTTTATTCTTTATGCTAATAGCTTTCAAAGTAAGCTTCCCGTACTACATTACTGAATTACAAAAAGACATATTTTACTGAATTCATTGATACAATGTGCCTTCAGCTTATATACTTACATTCAATTACCAACTGATTACATTTGTTAAACTGCCTGCATGGTAATGACATGGAAGATTTTTTTTCGTGACCTTAAAAAGGGCAAACAAATCTGGATGAAAAATAAAGTGAAAAGTTTTATTTTCCACTATTTACACTTTTTTTTTTTTTGTATATTTTGCATTTAGCTCACCTTGGACCATAAAAATGGCTCATGAATTTCTAGGTCATTTTTCTTTCTGGTTTTCATGCAGATGTAGAGGAAAGTTTGCATTCTTGTTTCTCCTGATTTTTTTAAAAAATTGGTGACAACACTTTGTTCAGATGTGCTGGTGTCAAGCACTGAGATTTTAAAGAGTTCTAAACCTGAGGTCAGAAGCTAATAAGATTCTTCATTTGCTCTGGGTTTTGGGGGTTTTGTTTGTTTGGTCTTATTTTTTAAAGCTCAGTCCTGAAGATACTAATCTGAGGCTTGAGAATCTGGTCTTTATTTCAAAATTCTGGCCAGACATTCTGTATAGGTGGCCAGTTCTGCAGTATGTGCAACATGAAGATGTTGGATGGCTTTATGTAGAAAGGGGCGTTGTATAGAACAGGAAATTGTTCTTGTTTATGAAAAGATTATTCATCATTTGATCATCACACCTTACTCACCTTCCATCACCATGCACATGGTCTTAATAAAAATACTACCAAAGTTAACTTGTTTGTTGTAGAGCCTGATAAAGAATTGTATTTAATGGTTGATTTTTCTTTAAGTATAAATTGTCTGCAATAGTTACTTCAAGCATTAACTCGGTGATTTTATTTATTACAGAATGCAGTCAATTAAGAATCATCTCACTGAAATTTTATTGTGAACATCACAAATGATCTATTAATGTAAATTTGTTCTTAATAATCTAGGTGCAATCACTCTGTAGATACTTTTCATTAATATTTTCTGTTTTCTACTAATTGCTCTTGCTTTGTCCTTCTTTGTAGAGAGCTATTGGGAAATTTGCTTCAGCAATTTTAGCCTTGCCAAAGTCTGTCATTAAACTACCCAAAACTATTCTTCAGTATTTAATCAAAGCAGCAAAGGTACTTGACATTTTGCGAGTGCTCACTGTTTGACCCGTCCCATAGTTCCTGATGTAATGCATGCCTCAATACTTGTCTGCATTTTTTCTCTTATATGAATGATTAAAAAGAATAATGACAGCTAAAGCTTCATTCCTAGTAAATGGAATACATTTCATACTTTTGGATCAGTCAAGCGCAAGATAAGTGATCTATCTTTTTTAAGTGCAACCCCAGAGAGAAAATGCAGACCCAAATTCTAATTTTCTTCTGATACTGCTATATAAGATGGTCACATCAAGTTGCATGTATCTTATGAACACCATGGTAAGTGACCTCAGAAAGCTGGTAAAAGGTTTGTAAAATACACGTTCTGCTCCAAAACCCTTTTTAGCTCTACTTTCCTGGCCTTCATCGTCATAAAAAAGATTTGTCCAACTTCTTTCTTGTCCTCCTTGAATACATTTAGTATTTCCTATCTTTGTGCACTGTTTGTGATTTTACACTCCATATATGTAACATGATATTTGTGAGGAGTGAGCGTTACAGATTAAGTGTACCAGCCCCAAAGCGTAAACGATACTGGATTTCAGGTTTCTCCAGTGTTAAAAAACTAAAGTAATACATATATACATGCACTCGGTCAGCTCTAAAAATACTGCTTAGCATAAGTAGTTACATTAAACTTATTAATCAAATGCCCTTTCTTCATTCTAATCTTCTACCTCCTTCTAAGTCTGCCTTTTACCTCTAATTTCTTTATTCGTGCTATGACTGTGGCTAGCATACAGTTTCTCAGCTAACTGTTCAACAGCAGATGTTGACAGTTTCTGACTTTCAGTAAGTAATACAGTATTAGTGCATATAAGTATCACCATTCCCCTAGATCACCGCCTACTACAAAGCAAAGAGAAACCAATGCCTCTGATCCCACACATTTTTCTCGTGTGGTGCTTCTTTTGAACAAGTCAGACATAAAAATAAGTGTACAGCCCTTGAGAGATTATCTTATCAACAGTACCAAAATGATTTCCTCTCCATTATTGTATACATTGACAAAACAGAACAAAGTATTTTTCCCTTTTAAATTCATTTAAAGTCAGTTTGACAGTTTAAAAAAAAATTGTTTTAATTTCTAAAGTAATTTGTGTATGTAAATTTTAAAAATATAAGTAAACCACATAGAAATTTTACCATTCTCTCCATTAAGGGGCATTTCCAGCTTCGCTGAGATACATGTGTGTTTCTGTCGTCTGCATGTTTCTCTTGTGAATTAAAAGAGCTGCTTTGTTACTGTGCTTTGTTTTTACCCGCATGCCTGTATCCGTGTGCTTCCCTGCTCTGTCTCAGTTACCAACCTGTGTTGCTTAGAAAGAGAAGACACTGCAGTGCCAATTGAAGATGATTACCATTTTTCAATGAAAACCAAAGAAGGAACAAAAGAACATCTTTTGTCCTAAAGAGCTGTGGAGAAGGCGCTGTTAGTTTAGTTTCTGTTATTCACGTTTTATGTCATATAGGGGAAAAAAGATATGAGTGTTACTACTTTTTTTGTATCCTTCCTTCACATCTTGTGCTTTTTTTTCCCTGCTATAGCATTTATAAATATTTTGAGCCAATTCCATGCTTCATGTAGTCACACAGATCAACAGACTGTTGATCTGAGTGAGTGCTGTAAGCAGGATTTGGCCCCATAAAGTTTTATTGATATACAGGTAAGTATTACTGTCTTCATTTTACAACTGGAAAAACAGTAGCAGAAGGATTCATAACCGACTTATCTGAAGCAACAAAGGGAGCCATTGTCAAAATCAGGATGAAATTTGAGGAATTCCAGACTGCCAGGTTGGGACTGTGCATAAATAGCAAATCTGTAAATGTCCCACGGGGATCTGCGGAGCAGAAAAAAAATACCTAAAGTGAAAAATATACAAGCACGAATACCTGTACTGAGATATCATCGCATCTTTTGATGCTTTAGGTAGTTGATTGCAGCACTTTCTTTTAAAGTTTCCATTACTCTGCATCTTGCCTGTAGAAATACAGAATTAGATGGAGAGATTCAGGTGAAGTAGCCCCTATGCACAACAGGGTATTAATTCCCAGAGTTCAGAGCATGAATGTTTGTGGGTTCTAATGAAACTTGGTTCACCCACAAGTGTTTTCACATTTGGTTTTATGCTTGCAAAAATAGGACATGAAAACTCAACAGATCTGCAGGGGAGGTGTTTGATTTGGGATTCAAAATATTTCCTTAGCCCTTCAGATCTGAATGTGTTTACTCAAACTATATAGTCCCGCTTGTGGTTTATTCTATGGCTTACTTTCAAAACATGAAGAACCTTGAAATAAATGGGTTTGTTCCTTCCAGTTTGTTTATCAGGCCTGGATTACTGACCCTAAAACAGCACTACGACAGAGGCGCAAAGAGAAGAAAAGCTTTGGCAAAGAGGAGAGGCGCAGGCGAAAAGGATCTGGGGATGGTAGGTAGACTTTATGATTTAAAAAGCGTGGTGTTAACTAGACTTGCCTGTTGTTCCTGGTAGTGAAAGGCAGCTGACTTTGAGAGGGCAAGCGCTCTCAGTTCTGGCTAGGAACTGGAAAAATGGCCTGCTGTCTCTCCCAGCCCATGACAAGGCTGGCCATAGCTATGTCTTTAAGTTTGACACGATGCACACTGGGGGAGGTAAGGGAGAAGAGGGGATACATGTGTTTTCCATGGAGCTGCAAGACACACACCCAGAACTTTTCCCAGAAAGGAAGACTCAACACATTGCAGAAAACATCAGCTGTATGAAAACATTTGTGGAAGTAGAGTACTTGCAAGGGAAAACCATAACCCTGTAAAGGCACAGTTTTTATAAAGCCAATAACCTGGTAGTTAACAGCAGTTCTCCAGAATATGGGCGTGGAAATGCCATGTGTTCTGGCCAGAATCAGGCAGAGCAAGGACATTACTCTTTCATTTCCTCACCTCATAAAAAGGTTTATCTTGCTCTCCAGGTTTTTCTAGGGTTGCTCAAAGTCTCCATTTTGATGATAAATTCATGTGTATTCCCAGGGAAAGTTTTGCATGTGACAGACTTAATGTTTTGTGTTGAAGAACTGTTTCACGAGGAAGTTCCTGAAGAGCTGTAGTTCAAATGGAGCTGTAAGAAAAAATCGATGAAATAGCCACATATTACTGCTTTTTACCACATTTCCTATGTTGTTCCTTAAAAAAGCTTGAGTTGATACATGGGGAAGAATATCAAGAAATGTTTTTCACTTTCGAGGCTGTACTAACTGAGGAACCCAAATATCCATGAGCCCCTAAATTCACAGTGAATTCAACAGGTAGCAAAAGGAAAACATTCAAATGTTAATAGGGTTTTTATGGCACTGTAAAATCATTCATACCTCTGAAAAAAATCAGTTTATAAGTGGTTCATACATCTTCATCTTATGCTCCTTTTTAAACAAGAAGAGAAAACAGAAATTCAGAAGTTTTTCTGGTCAGTATAGATGAGGAAGAGGGAGGCCCATTCAGACTGAATCAGCTGGACTTTTTCTCCATTTTGCGTCTTCACCTGTCAAAAAGAGGGAGCTTTATAATTTGGCTGCTGCCACTGAAACTGTAGCTGCAGTTATTGGATATTAGACAGAAGGAGAGTCATTTGCCTGTCTTTCAGTTCTGCCAGCGACTCTATGTCACTCTTCTGCTACAGACCTAAATAAAAGCACGTAGTAATTTCAAAGCAACTCTGCTGCTTCATTTCAACCCGAAGGTCCCACTCAATTCGTTTGGGTTTGCTGGGTCAGAAGCAGAAGATCTGAGCACTGATGAAGTTGTCCTTTGCAGAAGCCTAAGAAATGAGCTTAAGTGTGAGTGAGCGGGAGGTGAGGCTGCTGAGGGTGGAAGCTGTGTGACTGAGAAATTGCCTGGGTTTACGTCTGTTTTGGTTTCGGCTGCCGCCGGCAACAAAAGCGCCACGACACAACCACGAACCGTACCACGAACAGCCGCTCTCCCGAAACCGGACCGGCACTGCGCCCGCCCAAGCCGCGAGTGCGTTCCCGCCGCGCCGCTCCCCCCCCATCGGAACCCAGCGTGACGTCACATGGTATGGAATACCGGGCTCTGTTTGGCCAGGTGGGGTCAGCCCCCACCCCCCGGCTGTGCCCCTTCCTGGATTCCAGTGAAAATTAACCCTGTTCTGGCCAAACCCAGGACAACGTCAACAAATGATCTTGCTCAGCAGCCTATCTAGTAAGAAAATGCCACTGCAAATTACCAGAGAGGGGTGGTTGTCCATGAACACCTTTGCTGTCAGGGTTGTCCCCTCACTTGAGTCCTTTAGAAATGGATTTCTGCTTTCTGTTATAGTGGTAGGTGAGGAACCAGTCACTACTGCTTGGTAACTGTGGCAGCTTCCAGCTTGAATGGCGTTTACACCCCCACTTCTATAGGTGTAATGTTCACTGTTCCGCTCGTTGTTTTCAATAGGTGGCACTGATGCGGACTGTGAAGACAGTGAAGAGGAACCTGTCAAGAAGAAATCTGATGGACCAGGTATGAAGGCAGAAAGGCTTCTCAGCTGTTGCAATGCAGTTGTGACCTAGTCACGGCATGCCACAGAGACAGCATTGCAGTGATCCCAGGCTTATGTAAAAGCTGCAAAATCCATTCTAACCTGTGCAGTGAGAACTTCCTAACTACTTTCAGATTTCCAACTTCCAGGTTTACAAGTCCTGAGCATAAGAACTTTCACTCCTGGAGTATTAGCTGCTGCACTCATTCTCTATGCACATTAGTAAATACACTTGCAGGCTCAGACTTGATCACTTGCTGTTTCCAGCCCTGGTCACATACAGCCCTGTGTTAAAAACTGCATTGATTTTGAATGTCTGAAATATTATTATTAGCAGAAAGACCTTGTGGTTTTTTCAGTGTGCTTTAGTACCAAGTCTGGTACTCACCCATTCAGGAAGGTGCAAATATCTCCTCGAAAAAATGGGATTTTCCCTATCTTACCCATTCTCATTCATAATCAGAGTTAAGGATGCTCTGCACAGCAGAAGAAATGCCAACAGTTTGCAAGGTCGTGCTTATATTGAAAATTTGCCTGCAAAGGAATGTAATGGTTCATAAATTTAAGCTTGGCTCTTTGTTTCTATCTGGAGTAAAAGAAGAAAACAGACTCTCCTCTTAATGAAGTCTTCATCACGGCTTATCTTGAGTGAGACTTTGTCTTCAAAAGCTATTTTTCTTCTCTATTTAAAATTGATTCCCACACTTTCAGCTAGAATTGTATTCCTGAGTGAGCCACAGGGTAGAAGATGTTACAAGGATGTGGGATATGTCATTTCTTTCTCACAAGAGCAGTGGTCTCAAATAAAAAAATTGCATTGCTATAGAGGTTTTTTGGTGGGGTTTTGGGGGCTTTTTTATTTGTTACTTACTGATGATGTGGTTACCTGTGTTAAACACTGAAGTGAATCACTCAAACACATCTCTAGGGAAATACTGTTGGTGGTACGCAGGAGTTAGGGAAGGAGAAGGAGGTTTATAATTAATTTATATTGGAAGTAGTCAATTGGAGATGCTTTATATTTTCACTGAAATACTTTCACCATTTCTAAGTAAAATTTGTTAAATAAGATGGTTGGAAAAATTAGACAGTAATTGTTATGAAGCATTAGTATTATTGTTAACCTTGGATCGAATCCTGTCTCACACTCTCAGGCAGAGAGAAGCCTTCTCTGCATTTGACCCTTTAAGTCAGAATAACAGTCTCTGCAGAAAATAAATATTTGTTTCCCTTTTTGAAGATGTTTAGATGCAATCGACCCCAAAAGATTATTTTTTAAAAGTTTTGGAGAACAGCGAAGCTGCCAGAACAGCTACAGCATCATTAAAAATGTATGCTAAATTACGTCTGTCCCAGAGAGAAAAACGACCTTTCAGATTAGACTGGAAGTGCTTGGCAAAGCACTGTGGTGAGACTATGGCATGCCAGTGGTGGGCAATGCTAAAGATAATTTTAGCCTGAGAGCTGCGATTCTCCTGAAGTCAGTAGCAGAAGTTATATACTAGAGAGGACGAGTGTGGATTAAAAAAGAGCGTTTATATGTGGCATATTTCTGTGTATAAGTGCTACATTTTCTTTTAACCTATTCATAGCATTACATCTGGAATTCAAAGGAAATGAATGCTCCGTGAAGTAGAAGCAGCCTTACATTTTATTTCCAATGGCAAGATTTCCTTACCTCCAAGACCTGCATGTGGAAATAAGAATGAATAAAATTTAAGTTTATAAATCATAACACATCTCCAATTCTAAATGACATAGAAAAGGCCTGGAAAAAACAGAAAAATATTGCTGAACTATTTATATGACCAGGTGAAAGGGACTAAATATTCTTACATTCAGAGATATTGGACCAGTTCCATGGCATTGCTCAGGTGAATGGTACATACTGCCATTTCAGCATTCACTTTACAGGAATGTATCACTAATGGGTTTTTTCCTTAGTTTCTCTACACATGTATGTACATACAAGCCTGCCTGCACACCCAGAGGCACATACAGGTTGCTCTATAGGAAATCTTTTGCTTTATTATAGCTTCGCCTTTGCATTCTTTGTAAGGAACAAGTGTGCACTCCACAAAGTTTTGCTTGCCATCTTGTGGTGCAGCTAAGAAGTGAGGTTGTTAAATACATCATGCTTTAACACATAGGTTGGCTCCTTAGTGTCTACTTCAAACATTTTGGCCCTGCATGGCAGATTATTGGCAGTTTTCTATTATTTCTCGGGCTGGTTACTCTAAAATTGATCTTTATAGCTAGTGACCTGGGATTTGCAATCTAGCAGGAAAAACTAGCTCTGGAACTGGCTAGTTCGAAGGAAATTTTTTAGCATTTGTGCAGCACTATGGAAGAACTGTAGTGCAGTGTGGTATGTATGTTTGGAAGCAGAATAAAAATAAGCTGAAAGTGCTGCTTTTTTGGGTGAGAAATGCAGTTGCTAATGCTAAAGGAACTACTGAAATGAGACATTAAATTGAGACAGCTGCACTGAGCAAAATAAAGCTACTACTGTTGTTATAAACCCATAAGCCTTACTCATGAGGAGTGTACTGCTTTGGCGAAATGGTGCAAGAGTAATGTTTTATAAATTACTGATATGATTTGAGCTAGTTAGGCTAGCTGATCTGAGATCACTAATGACACAGTACAGCCTATTTTAAAAAAGAGAGGCTTTGGAAACAGTAGATGCAAAGAGATGTGTTTAGGTGTTGGGAAAACTGGGAGAGACTGAAAGACTGTTTAAGCAGGTTAGACTTTCAAACTCAGCTAGCAAGGTTCAAGCACAAAAGGCACACTCTGTGCAGAGGGTGTGCACAAGTAAATAGACAGGTAAGAGGCTCAGCAGCTGTTGAGATCACGGGAACTGGTGGTGTTGAATAGCCCTCAGGAGAAGCCCAAATCTTTGGGTTTCATTTTGCATCTCTCTAAAATCAGGGACTGTTTATATGACTAGCGATTGCAGAACCAGGGAGTTACAGGGTGGAAAAGGGATTCCAGATGATAAGCCTAGACATACAGGCAGGAAAATGGCCCACACAGCCAAAAGGCCTCCAGCCATCTTCAGAGATTCCTTGCTATGACAGGGTCTTACAGACTGGATTATTATTATTATTAGACAATAAAGGAAAAATGAATCTAACTCCAAGCAGAAATACAACGAAAGATATTTGCATTCATTAACTCTCTGTTGCTTTTCCTTTCCCTTAGATAACATCATCAAGAGGATATTTAATATCTTGAAGTTCACTTGGGTGCTTTTCCTGGCAACCCTAGACAGTTTTACAGCTTGGCTTAATTCCATCTCAAGAGAACACATCGATATCTCCACTGTGCTAAGAATTGAGCGCTGTATGCTGACCAGGGAGATTAAAAAGGTAACGCCTTTCATCTTTTTTCTCTGCTAATGCCATTTCCAGCTCAGTGAAAAATGAAAGGTTGTCTTTTCAGATCACTGTGTTAAGGAGAAAAATTATATAAATCTTACTTATATGTGCATTTTAGAAATAGGTCTGGACTCTTGCATTGCTTGCTGGTTAGTAAATATATATGTAATAAATTACTTGATTTATTATCTGGACACAAAACAAATTATTGGAAAAACAGTTCTTTGAGAGGTTGATATAAGGATTTGACTGAAACTCTCTTGTGACAAGGTGTGGTTTTGAGGGGACAGGATAGATACAAGTAGAAAGGAGAAGGCATGACATTTTAAACAGCTCAAAACCTACCTCAGCCTGCATATTTCAGTCTATCTGTAGACCAGCTTGCCTTGGAAATGACGGATAACATACAGGCATAATTTTCTTCACTTGCAATTAAGCTATGTGGTCCTCCACAAACTAATTATATATTAGTAAAACCCATTATTATCAAAGACTAATGTTGAAAGTGTAACTAGAAATGTATTTGGGTCTTTAAAATGCAAGTAGATGATATCTTGAAATTGGATAAAGCTCTGATTTCAAGCACAGGTATTTTTACATATGTCGGTAGCTACCCAACTATTTCTGGAAACTTGGCATAGAAGTCTCTCTTTTAGTTCTTTCCAGTTTTTGTTAAAAGCTGCAGACTGTGTCAGAGATGAATAGGTTGAAAAGGTCAACAACACATTAGTACTCTTGGTCTTCATAAAGCCCCATACTACTTGGCCACTGCTGACGTCCGACAGTAAGCAGGCTGTCCACAACCCCAGGAGGTTCGAGGCAGACTTTCCTGGTCAGGGGGAATCTGTACCCAGTCTGGCCAAGAGGCACAGAGCACGAAAAGAGGGCTGCTTCAGTGTTAGTGTTTAGTTACTGTTATTTCCCAAGGTGTCCAATAGTAAGCAGATAATGATAATAATAATAGCGAATAAATAAATTTAAAACAAATCAAAACAGAGCAAAACAAACATGGCGTGTCCGGAGTAAATCCTTCTTTGGGATATGTCCCAGCTTGTGGCAATGGATGGTTTGCATATGGATCATTATGTTTAATACTACCAAGGAATCTATATTCTTGGAGTTTGGCTAGTATCTTTTTAATCTATTTTTAAAGTTGGCTTCCTGAAGACGCTACAATAAGAAGTTCTGTAGTGTCATTCCATATGGTGTGTTTGAGTGCTTCCTCTTGTTCATTTTAAACCCACTTCCTGATCATTTTGGGGTCTCCTGTAGATCAGAGATGTATTCCGTTTTCCTCTACTATTCCTGATTGTATAAATCTGAATGGGGTCTTCTCCCCAGTAATTCTCTTTCAAGTTAAAAAGTCCCTTTCTTTTTAGCCTCGCTTCACATGGAATCCATCCATCTTTATTGTTCTTCATACAATTTCTAGTTTTAATATGGCCTTATTAAGACTGTTTTCAAGATGTGGGTAAATCACAGATTTATACAGGAGTATGATGTGCTTTATTTTGCTTTCCTAGTAAGATCTAACAGTCAAGCTCCTTTAATTTTACTGAATGCTACCTATTTTCAGAAGACTATACGCTCTGAGTCCAAGACCTTTAAGGCTAAAAAAGCTGACATAAAGCCTGTCATTATGTATATACAGTTCAAGTTACTTTTTCCATTTCATTTCTTGCCATTTTCTATCAAGTCACTCAGTTTTATCAAGTTCTTCAGTATTACTTCAGGCAACTTTACACTTGAATATCCCAGATAATTTTTTTCACCTGCAAACTTTATCATATCGCTGTTTTCCTCCTTACACAGGTTATTTCTGAATATACTGTACAGTAAAACTCCTAGGGGGAACCAGTGACCTTCTTCCTTTGTAAAGAAAAATCATTTGTTTGTGCCCTTTGTCTCCAGTCTTTTAGTGGAGGATTAGTACGAGAGATAGATATAGTCTGCTTTATTTCATGACAACCTAATTTCTTGCAAGGGTCACTCAGGATCACTCCTGAAGCCATGTTTAAGAATTGGTGTTACCTTGTCTTCCCCTGTCAGTGTTTCATCCATTGGTTCCTGCAGAGCTCTTAGGTGAGCACCTTCCACTCAGTGCTCAGTTTATTGTCCCATTCTCAGACTTACCTTTTGTAAAATAATTACTCCAGTCATTCCATGGGTTTCAATTTATTCCATTGGAAACATCGGTGACTTTTTCTGCAGCAAAGAGGAATGCAAAACTTAAGTCTTTTCTTGTCCTGTTGCCATAACTCCCTTACACATCCTTATGCCTCGATCACCTGCTGATACTCTGGCTTTCTGGCAGCTAATTCTTATGATATTCTTGCAAAAGTTTTTGCTAACAGGTTTTTTTTTTGGCATGTTATTCCTCAGCATCTCTCTTGGTCTAATTTGCTGAAGCTTTACATTTAATTTGCTGAAGATTTACATTTAACTCTAGTTTTACATTTAACTCTAGAAAGTTCATTCCTGTTTCTTTTTCCTTATGACTTTCACTTCTTGAAGGATGTCTTCTTGCTTCTTCCTCCTGGTCTTTTCCATTCTGGTGACTTGTGTGTGTGCGTGCAGGCTCTTTCATGATGTTTCATTGTCCAGTGTGGAGATGGGAACAATTAACCTGATGTGTGAAGTTCCTTTGGTCTCTTTTCCAGCTACAGAAGAACTTGAAATTGAGTCCTCCATCAGTTGTGGGGCACTTCTGCTGTCACAGCTCTTGTCCTTTATCTGAGGCCTGCAGTCGAGTTAGAATGTACCATGAGCCATAATTTCAGACGAAGGCTGTCATAATAGCACAAACATTTACTACTGCAGTTGCAACACATCTTGTATACAAGCAAACCTAATTAAAAACCTGAGTTTCAGATTTTGTTCTTGAGATTTATTTTTTTTTTACAAAACTGAAGATTTTGAAAATTTTATGTTTGGGACAGTGTAGAGGACTAGAGTTGAAATAATAGTAACTAATAATTTTAGTAAAGGGAATATGGGTAGTATTTTAGAGTACTTTTATTATTTTAGCTGGAAAAAGTCCTTGCATGAGGCTTCATTATAAGTCAGAAAAATGACTGTTCAAGAATAGCAATCTTCTCTCTCAGTGTATCTTCTGAAGTCAATGCTAGTGGAATGAGTTGAATGTGTTTCTACCTAAGAACAGCTACAAAATTCTCAGTTTTATTCTTATGACATGCTTTTAGAATTCTGATTGCAATATCATAGCCAGAAAGACTTGATTCTCTGCCCAGATCTATGCTGACAGTTAATAAAACCATCCTTTCATGAACTTGCTTGATCTTGAATTCACAAAGAAGGAGTGAAGGTCTTCATGTGTTTTTTTCATGGTTTTCCAACTGTATCCATACCTCATGAGTAAATTCTTATTTTGGGACACTAGTGAAAATCTAGATCAGTTTGTACATGACCAGTTTCTTTTTTTCTGTTTAAAAAAGCTGCTATTGACCACTAATAAGATGTATGATTGTTCTTAGAGTCAGTGAAGCTATCTAAAAGAGATATCTTAAAAGTTGCTGGAGTACAGGTTGAGTCGTGGACCCAGCCCACACCTCATTTTCATGCTGAATGTTCCACAGTCCACCCAGTAGAGTTTTGTTGGCTATGTGTGGCCTGAAACCACTTTCATTGTTCCAGTTTTGCTTGAAAACCCAACACTTTGTACCATGGTAATTTAAGACAGAATCTGACTTGCGGTCTAGAAAGGAACTGCTGGCTGGAGGTTATAATTTACTAGCAAGCTGTTTGCACAGTCCTTAATCTGTTCCTTGCCAAGTGACAGAAGAAACTAGTTCCTCGAAGAATATACCTCCCCCCTGCCAAGTACCTCTACCTCTACTCTCTTCTACAGGGAAACGTTCCAACACGGGAGAGCATCCATATGTATTACCAGAACCACATGATGAAACTTTCTAAGGAGTCAGGACTGGACTCAATTGAAAAAAATGCTGGTCAAGCTTCTGGTTTGCAAGCATCTGAAAGAATGGATAGTTTAGATTCAGCAGCTTCTCGTGACAGTATGTCCAGGTATTGATTTAATTTTATTTTGTGAAAGATAGAGGGATCATGCAGTAAACGTAATCTTATATAATCTCGAAGTACTGATGAACTTTCTAATCTATACTGAATCCTCTTTTTGATTTATCGATGTCATTTGAACAGTGAAAACTGCTATATTTTACTGTTCCTTTATAGTGGTGGACTCAGTTGTTGGCTTAACTCCTTTTCCACTGCATGGCTACCCCACTGCTTTCTGTTTCACGTAGAATTAGGAGTCATTGACAGTGGTTGATGACTTTTAAAATGTAGTGGAAGAGAAGAGCCTGCTGAGGATGCTTATGGGATACTGTTTTAGGAACTCAGGTGTGGAGTTTGGGGAACGATCATTCATTGTGAATATTTTGTCTTTGTAAAATAAATTGTTGTCTGTTTTCCACAAATCAAAAAAGGCTTTGCATTGAGGGAGATTCTGGATTTGAGAGAATGAAGTCCCCCGCTCATACACACAGGGAAAAGATCATCTGAAGAGCCCGATTTCCTAATAACTGCTGTGATTATAGTCCAGCAGAGCTACACAGTTCATGGATCAAATACCCATACTAGTTCAGGAAAAGCACCTTCCTCGTTCTTTTCTGAAGACAGATGCTGTCAGGTCCCTCGCCAGAAGTACTGCATGCTCCTGCTGCTCCATCCATATAGAGGCACACACATTCACTTCCTTCTCTTACAGAGGCAGCCTGTTCCCACCGTGTCTCTGGTGTTCTTGACTTTTAAGAGACTGCAGAAATTGTCCAACATGAGGGGGAGAAGGGGGGGCTTTGGAAATCCAGCTGTTTCATAATCCGTTTTATTCTGCTGTCTCCTGTTCTTCTCTGAAGTGTGGCAGTATCATATTGTGTTTGAGACTCCCAGCAAACTTGGTAGCTTCTATGTAGAGTAAATTATGCTTAGCTTTTACTAATGACATATGGGTAGATGTTAGCAGACTGAAAATAACGAGGGCTCATCTTCCTTTCTGATGTTATTGAAAAGCAAGTGTAAGAGAGTGCCTTTGAGTACTATGCTTCAACAAAATATTCACAGGTTGCTCCCCAGGGTGAGTACTGGCCTTTGAGAGTTTCACTCCAGTAAAAACACCAAATCCGAGCAATCTTTCTCGGTGGCTAGCTACCCAGCTAAGCAACACCTTTGTGTTTTGTCTCAAGATTTTGCTGGAGTCAAATGACGTGAGAAAAAAGAAAAGCCAAATTCTATTACCAGCTCACTTGGAGCCACTTGGATATCTGCAGGGCAGAATTTAACTCCACAAAGTTCAGTCTTACCTAAAGAAAGAATAGTAATAGCGGTCCTGCTTTCATTAAACAATTTTTGGTCACACTGTTTACTATAGATAGCAGAAGTTATCATTGTTATACAGCCATGATAGCAAGAACTTTAACTACAAGCAAAGAGAAGCCAATTCCAGAATGAATATAAAAAAGAAAGACAATTCTTGTAATTTTCATGTGTAAATTCTGCCTCTTCAATGAGGTGGTATCCAGTGTTGAGCTCCACTTACGTCTTTTTTTTCAGAATAACCACCCATTTGTCACCCTGCTTTGAGCATTCTTACACATTTAAAATCTGTTTTTAATCTCAGAGAATTCAGTGATTCTGTGGAGCTGCTTTGCAACAGAAAATGTTAAATTTTTCACACGTGTTACTGTCATCTCCGTTTCCTCGCAAGATGTTACAGGATCTATCAACAAAAGAATAGCAAAGACAGTATTATGACTGATTTTTCTAATCTCAAATTCTCTTTCTGGTGATGAACAATCAAATATTCTTGCACTGAGAGTATTTACAAATTGTGCACATCTGCTATAATAATAATGACCTGTAATTAGAGGAAGCAAAAAATGAATCTGTTGATTGAATGATAAAGCCATCTGTTCATTGGGGCACCCTTGCATGTCTCTTCCTGGGATTACAGAAGTGCTTATGAGCTTTTTAAGAAATGTGAAATGTTTGAAACTTCATGTGAGTTTATTGAGAGTTTTTTTTTTAATTGCCCAAACAAGAGGAGGGGGCATTTTACATTAGAAAGTGATGATTTCCAGTAAATGTAAAAGCAACTAATTAAGTCTAAAGCATCCCTATGATCATGGATCTGGGATTGCAATTGAAAACTTTTGGGAGGGGGCAGAGGGTTTCTAACCAGTATTCTGGTTACCCTTCTTTGGTTGCCCTACACAAAATTCTGTAGTGAACATTAGGCCCATGAGTAAGATGGGTGTGTCTGGAAGAACACAGGGCTGCAGAAGCACAGAAGCTATTCCATTATAATAATCTATATTCTTCAGTACTCAGGACAGGAATTACTGTAAGTATCTGCTCAGTGTTCTAAACACTGGATTTCTAGAGAGAACAACCCTCCTGATCAGCTGCAGGAACTGTAAATTTCTTGTGAAGTTCAGGGCTGACCCTTATGATGTTCTTTCCCAAGATGAAGCTCTAAAAGGAGTTTTGCAGAGCATCCTTTGTGGTATTTTCTCTTTTAGTAGGGCTGTCGTATATTTTCAGTCATTTTTCTATACAGTAGCTAGAGGTGTTGTGAGGTATTCATAATGTAATTGTTTGGTTTCTCTCTACATCAGATTTAAGGGTATCCAAGGTTTTGTATCCAGTTCAGTTTGTATTAATTTTTGTCCATTACAAATAATGTATTCAGTTCCCAACTCTACCTGTGTGTAGGCTTTTATAGGAGCTGCCCATGGAAGACCCTGATCCTCCTGTAAGAGTCAATATATGGACACCACTTTGCATCTGTGCTTCCCTCACCAGATGGGAGAGTAGGTGTTGAGGCAGGGAGTACTGTAGACGTAATGTTTGACTTGGGAGGCAGGAGAAAGGATGAAAGGAGAGTCCCAGTTTATGTTTGAATCTAGGTCTGATTTAGGAGTGTGAATGATAGGAAATGTTTGGGATCTTTGCTTGCAGGTGTAGGGAGTGTAGTAATTCATAAAGGTAATGCCATTCAGTCACTAGCCCATGGACAGAAAAAAAAAAAAAACCAGAAAAATTTGTAAGTCACCCTTAAGCTAATAAAGTCTCTAAGAAGGGTGAATTTGTTTAGCAAAAAGGAAATCATAAAGTAAGAAATTTCCTGCTCACTGAGGATAAAAACATCTCTGCTATATGTGTATATATATATATATCTCCCCATTTAAAATGGATACCCAATCAACTTTATATAAAATGCTTGAAATCGGGGCTTTTAATGAACATTCAATTAAAAATGCCTAGTCCTTGAATGTTTTCAAGAAGCTAATGCTTTGCAAGGTCTCCAAGGACATAAATTTGAAAAGTCACTCGGGAAGATATCCTTGGGTTAAATTTATGTGATAGTCAATGACTGAGTCAACATCAGCTTTGCCAAGTGTAAATCTCTCCACTTTATTGGTGTTTTCATTTCCTCCATGTTCGGAAGCAATGCTCCTAAAGAAATACATAAAGAATATACAGACTACGCTACAGGTGTCATCTCATACACATCTCCTGACATTCAAGGATACAGAGCAACTGCTCAGTAGATAATTCTTCTGACGATTCATCTTTCAGTTAAAACAGCTTTAAACCAAATTATTGCAGGGACTCCATCTGGGCTAATGTTTTTATCTTTTGGGATTAATATACATTTTTCCTTTGATTTTTCTGGGATCCAGATCAGAACTTACATGTTTTGGAGGGCAGCTGACATATGTTTCTTCCATTGCATAGCTGCTCTGATTAAAGGTTCTCTTTGAACTATGTCTGCATTTAAAATACTTCAACACGTTGGTAAGACCTGTTGCTCTTGAAAAGAATAAACTCAGCCCTTGAGATGTAGAATAATATGTGGACAGCATTGTAGCACACAGATAGAAAGGTAATCTGAAAAAATAGGTTGTCTACTTGCTGCCATCTCCCTATATTTTAGCACCAAAACCTCACTGGTAGTACAACGACCTGGCTGTAGTCCATAGGTGTCTGTGCAAAGGGAAACCTCCTCCTGCATAACCCCCTGGAGTCAGCAGCACAGAGCTCCAGCTGATTTCCATGCTGCTGAATCAGACGTCCAAGGTGAATCTCCCATTCCCACCGGACGCAGCATTTGCTTCTTCACCAAACCCTGCACCAGGCAGACAGCCCTCCAGGTTTTGTCTGGTGGATGCTTGAGTGCCTTTGCGCACACACAAAAATAATGAAGTGGCTTGCAAAGGGTCTTGGCCAAATGAACTGTCAGGACAGAGGTGCCCCTGCCATTAATAGTGTTCTTAAGGAAAGTATTTCACAATACCTTTGGTATCTTGGTGATACTTTTTTTCTATTCAAAGATCAAAGTATGCATTTATCCTCAGCCCATTCTGTCAAAAAAGACCATCGGTGGATGTAGACCTAGAAGAATAACTGCGTCTTCGCTCCACGTATTTTTCTTGTTTTTCTCACCATTTTCCTTAAGGCAAGAATTGCAAACTGTCACTTCATATCAGAAGACTTTTTTCCTCACTTCAAGCTAGCAAGACCAAAGTAACACAGAAAACGCCATCCTGCTTCCCTTCTGACCTCTTCTCCAATTCTCTGTGCCCCTGCACAAACATAATGCTTGCCAAGGAAGCAAATCCCCTGCTGCCGCTGCTCATGTGTGACACAAATGGACTCAAAAGAAGAGAAGTAGAGTGTAAATCCTGCGTTTTGGGGTCCTTCCTTCTCTCATACTGTCTGAGAGACTCAGGCAGGTCACTGTATGTGTTAAAACACCAGATTCCTCATCTTATTTCATAGGTATCTGTGTTTTTCAAAGATTTTTACAGGAGAAATAATTCTTTTACCTACCATATGTCATTAATGTATTTGCTTCTTTCTTGTTGCTATGTTATATGCTTGTATTTAATTATGTACTTTCTTTCTCATAACTCATCCAATTCCTCTTCTTTTCTCCAGTAACACATAAATGCTCAACATGTGGTGTATGTCTCTGGTGTCCTGTTGTATTTGATAAGTGAAAGGAGATAAGGGTTTATTAAATCTGTTCTTTCTTTCAAGATGTGCATGTTACCAATTTTGAAATAGTTTTTAAGCTGTGATTGAAATAAATGAAATCTTCTGGAAAGAATCATCAGGACTTACTACAAAATATCAAAATAAAAGCCATCCCATGCAGAGCAGGTTATATTTGGCATGCATCTACTGGCTAAGTAACATATCCGATTTGGCTCTTTCATTCGGAAAGAGGATTAGCCAATGCTTGACCACTATTTTTCTATTTGTGGAATATGAGCTTATTCAGTTTTAAGCGCTCTTTTAGGAAATTGGCTTGTACCTGTGTAAAAATGTTCAGCACAACATATCATTAATAAAATAGAATTTTTACAGGGGGGCCACTTCCCAAAACATTTTTGTGGAATTTGGAAATTTCAGAGGGAAACAAAGAAAATAAACCTCCTCACATATGTGAGTTGTTGCCCCTGGAAAGCGTGTAGAGAATTGTGTTGGTTTCATATCCTTTAACTAGTGAATAGACGGTTATGAGCCCTCTATAGCCTCTATACGAATATGACCATGAGCACTCTGTGCATAGAAATGTGTTGACACGGTGACTCTAAACAAATCCTTATCTTCTCTCTGAACCTTTTTTCTCTGTGTCAGTGTTTTGCTGCATGGCGAGCATATTTGTTTACTGAACCGTGTGTATAGTATTATCATTTGTATTTAACATTGTCTTTATAACTGTTTGCGCTGCTAGCTGCTACACTGAAGCAACCATGTTGTTCTCAAGGCAGTCAACCCTTGATGATTTAGATGGACCAGACACTGTTCCTAAAACAAGTGAGCGCGCTCGACCTAGGCTTCGTAAAATGCAGAGCATGGATATGTCCTCCTCATCAGCTGACAGTGGCAGTATAGTGTCAAGGTGCTTAAGTCATGCATGCTTTGTTCACTCATTTACCCATTATACTTACTGCAGTGTACGTAAATCTGCATTTGCAGACACGTGGTGTACAGAGTGGTTTGCATGCTTAATGGAAGCTTTTCTCCCTACTGTGTTATGGCACGATTCTGAATTTCAAAGTCAGGGTCATAATCTAGGACTCATTTGCTGTTTCACTTCTTATTCTGTTTGTTTTGGTTTGTTTTTCATCTGTAATTCATGTATTTTTAAAAGATGATTGATTGTATTACACTGGCTGTCTAAAACCAGGCTAAAGCGTGTATTTATTCAGCTGAAAAAGAGTCTGATTTTCAGAGTTACTGAGCTGGTGGTTATTCTTATTAAAAATGGAAGCTGAAAGTGAAGTTTCTCAGCTAATCGGTTATCCTAAATATGGACTTAGGTGTCTAATTTTAGAAGCTAAGATAGGCAAATGTTGGCCCTGCTCTTTCAATTTTTACTTTTCCCTCTATAGGAAAGGTTGCTAAATATGTTTTGATTACTTTACCATTGATTTACAGTCTGTGAGGTGTTGGAATTAAGAGAGGGAAATTCACTATGAAAAGGTAGTGAATAATATTAATATCCAGTGCAAGACAGAACTGGTAAGAGCCATTCACTCACTTTTTAGCAGGTAAAAACCAGGGGTTTATTTGACATTGCAAAACACTGTTTCAATTAGTATTATAAATAGTATAAATATAAAATTTTGTGGCATATTAGATCATTCTTCTTCAGTGTTTAAAGTGTTTTACAGATATTTGGTGTCGATCAGTTTTGAGATGATAGGATTTTATGGTTTTATGCATTTTAACCAGGATGAGTGCTAACATGAATCATCAAAACATACATCTTAATAATAGTGTTACATGTTCTGATTAAAAGTCTGCTAGAAATAAAGTGATCTGACGTAGCCACAATAACTTTAGAAGCAGTGTAAAAGGAAAAGGGATGGAAGCTTATTTTAAATTTTGGCAGGAGATGGTGGTGCCAGCTGGCTTTGCCAGTGCCAGTATTTTATAAAAGGTTATACTTTAAGTGAAAACATGGCCCCATTCATTTCATAGGAGCTGTGTGAAATCTGGTTTTGTCTCTGTTGAGATACAAGAACACGCAGCCAACAAAAGACACTGAGAGAATGCCTGTTGTCTAACCTATGGAGAGGGACTGTAATGGAGACTGAAAAGAGAAAGAGTGGTGTTCTAGGGGAGTGGTGATAAAATGCTTGTGAGGGATGGAAAGGGTGAAAGCAAAACCAAGAAAATATTTTTAAAATTATGGTGTCCAGATTCCCATCTGGAGTCATCAAGCTGTGTGAATTTACATCAGCTAAGACTGCTGCAGAGCACAGAGTATTAAGAAAGAAAGTGATTATGGATATGCAAAGCTGAGAATAAGTAAGATGAACAAGCAGAAAACTGAACAGAGAGAATAAGAACAGCTGAAAAAGAAAATAGGTACACACAGAGGAAAAACAGGCAGATAAGGTAAAAATAGAGACTGTATTGAAGAACATAGGGCAATTTAAAGGTAAACAAGATAGCCTGTTACCAGAACAGTTTTGTAATCTGGATTGTATTTCTCAACGTTTGTGATTTACTTGTTCTTTTACTTGGAATCAGACTTGATGTGTGTGTTCAGGTCATGTTCTAGTTCTATACAGCACCCATGTGGTGGTTGTTAAAAGCACCATGCTTAGAAGGAACCCCATGGCTGCCTATCATTCACCATGGAGCATGCTTTAAGTAAATGTAATAGGAAGTGCTGGTTCTGGTCTGAAAGTATTTGAACTGCTTTCAGAAATTTAGTGTAGTTGCTCTTGATAATGATATGAATTTGCCCTTTGTTGGTGTGAGAAGACAGTGAATTGCTGTGAGTTCGCTGGGATGTCATGCAGGGGGCAAAGGGACCGAGGTGGTCTATCTGTGTAAGAGACTATCATGATGATATATTTTCTACCAATTTATATGAACTTTGAAGGTCTGGGAATGCAATGGGGTTGCTCAGCTGTCTGTGTAAAGGTACAATTAACAAGCTTTTCTTGGTGATGAGCCTTGTAAGCCTCAACTCGTTCATTCTGTCCCCAACAGTGAACCTACGCAGGTCACCATGCTCTATTCTCGTCAGGGGACAACAGAAACCATTGAGGAGGTAGAAGGGGAGCATGAAGAGGAAGGAGCTCGTTCTTCATCAAGGCAGGAGGAAGAGGAGGTAGAAGATTATAGCCTGGATTCAGAAGGAGCTGCGTATACTCCTGATACTGATGTGCCATTGTACTCCACTGTGGACAGCAATGCAGAAGCTCCACCTTCCTATAGCAAAGCTGTCAGCTTTGAACACCTTCCCTTTGGCTCCCCAGATGACTCAGCTGATAAGAGCCTCATGATGGTGAGCCCAGATGACAGTCGGACGGACAAACTTAATGATACCATTCTCCCTCCATTGACGCATGAACTAACGGCTAGTGAGCTGCTTCTGAACAAGTAAGAACCTTTGAGAGGGAAAAATTGTTGATCCCAGTGTGTGAAGTATTGTCATTACTTTGTTTTTTTTTGTCTCGGAACTGCCCTACAGTTTCTGATACAGACCTTGTTCTAATTTTGATTTAAGGGAAGAAGCTAATTTCCTGTGCGGTTTTTCTAATTACAGATTTCTAAAATGATTCAAATTCATTTGGAATGAATCTCTGCTTTCTCCCCAGATACCATAGCTAATTGTTCCAATTAGCATTGGATTTCTGTGCTGCAACTGTCATGGGATCAAGAGCTTTTCTAAATATTCCTCGTGGAGAAGGCTTCTCTTCTCTAGGCAGCTGCGATTTCAAAGAAGTTTCCTCCAGGGCTATCTGGGAAAATGTTTGTCCTTTAATTGTTTTGGATTGCTATAAGGGAAACTATGACCTTTGGCAGAGTTTTTGTTTAAGCCAGTAGGAGCCAAGGGCTACGTAGAGATACCAGCTTGCTAAGTACTTTCATAAGGGATAGGATGCTCCCCTCTTTCCCCCTCAGGCACTGTGCTCAGTAGCACAACCAGCACTGAGGTGGGGATGCTGCCACTGCTCTGTTTCCTCTGCTTTCCGGCCTAACTCAGCTGGTGGAGAGCTTCCTCAACTGCAAGGACAAAATCTTAAACCATAGAAATGCCTTTCAGTCTGACTTCATATGGAGAGAGAGAGGCTGTGTAGGTCTGACTTTATAGACACAGTGTCTTTTCTTCTGGTTTTCCATAGCTGTTTTTGCTTTTCAGTGAGATCTTTTCTCAGGCCACGGTGCTCTTTATGAAAAGCAAAGAGAATTGTGAATGTGTGTGAAAGTCATATAATAATTTCTTGCTGCCTTTTATGTTTATTTGAGTTAGAAGAAGTGGAGAAGATTGGACATGTCGAATGCTCAAAGGCATTTATAATGTTCTAATCTCATGTCACAGGACTACTCATAACATACGTCTCCTGATGGACCTCTGGAGTTTCTCCAGATTCCCATCTATGTTGATAAACCAGATATTAATCCAGACAGGGCCACAACATCATGGTGTGATGTACATGACATATGGTGGTTGGGCAACTGCAGGAAAGCCGTGCTGGTAGAAGTTCTGGGGCCAGGCTGACTCTCTGGGTCAATTAAAAACCAGCAAAACAGTGCTTCTAGCCATTTTGCTGAAATTCTTGTTTTCTGTGCTTAGAATCAGGTAATTTGATTATAATATCAAAACCCCTTTTTTTTTAACTTGGCAGCAGAGTTTTATGCTTTTTCAAAAGGAAAAATGGTAGCAATTTAAAAAAAAGGTCTTAAGAAATTAATTTTAATTTCATTCATGGTACTCTGGTCCTCGCAGGATGTTTCATGACGATGAGCTGGAGGAGTCAGAGAAGTTCTATGTTGGTCAACCTCGAGTCTTGCTTCTTATTTATGCCCTGTACAATACGCTGGTGGCCCGGTCAGAAATGGTGTGCTATTTTGTGATCATCCTTAACCACATGGTCTCTGCCTCCATGATAACCTTGGTGCTTCCCATCCTTATATTCCTTTGGGCTATGCTGTCTGTTCCTCGGCCAAGCAAACGTTTCTGGATGACTGCCATTGTCTACACTGAGGTATGCTGCTGTTTTTGCAACCCTGTGTCTAACACAGAAAAGTTAAGTTGTAAGCTTTGCCTGGTCTCTTTTCTGGTTTTGATCTCTAGAATCAGGGCCTTTGGGCCTTCATATTAGTATAAATATTTGCTAAAGTCCTCAGCAATTTCTGTGGTATGAAAAGGTCTTGTTTCTTCTTTTTCTTCACTGCAGTGAGCAATATCCATCCTGGCATGTAAAGCAGTTATCACAAGAATGTGATCACTGCATTTTGAAAAAAGCTACTATGTAATTGGTAATCAAGACAGTAAACACTGCTTGTGGTATCTCAGGTACCACTGAGCATCATCTGTTGGTAAATGTTGTTTGACTTTCTTACTGAGGAAATGTGAACTGGTGCTCCTCTACAGCAATGAATACACTTGTTTATCTTCTCTTAAAACTGATAGATAGTCATATTTCCCTCTCTTAATGTCATGAGGCTATTATATCTGCCGTGCTTAGAAAACACCCCAAGTGTGTTGTGTTTCTGAACAGGTGGCTATTGTCATCAAGTACTTCTTCCAGTTTGGCTTCTTTCCTTGGAATAAATATGTGGATTACACAAAAGACAAACCTTACCATCCACCCAATATTATTGGCATTGAGAAGAAAGAGGGTTATGTGCACTATGATCTCGTTCAGCTGCTTGCTTTATTCTTCCACAGATCCATTTTAAAGGTAATTTGAGCTCATGCAGTTTCTTATTTTACATTTGATTTTTAGTTTTAATTTCTTTAGTCACTCGTGATATCCCAACACAATGAATTTGTCTTCCCCCTTATGAACACATGACTGAGCTTAGCAATGCCTGTGATAAATACTGTGACAGAAATACAAGGTTGAAATGCTCTCTTCTTTTTCCACTAGTGCCATGGATTATGGGATGAAGACGAGAAAGGGGACAGCTCCAGTAATAAAGAGGATACTGATGATGAGCTCTCTCTGACAGGAGGCAGGAGAGACTCTTCTGCCTCTTTGAAATCTGTCAATCTTGCGGCATCGGTGGAGTCCATCCATGTCCACTTCCCCGAGCAGCAGACCGCCATCAGGAGGAAGAGCTCTAGCAGTGTGTCACAGCTTTCACACAGGTCCAGCTTCTCCTCACACAGATCTAAGAGAGGTAAATGTCATGGCACGTCTGGAGTTTGAAGAGCAACAGTTCATCTCCCATAGGATCATCTTGCTAAAACCTTGTGCTGGTTGCTCTGGAGATCCAAGAGGCTACTGAATGCTGCTGCTCCTCAGTGAAGAAATAGGATATGAACCAAAGTATCTTCATGTTTGAACACACTCCAAAGCTTATTAAAGTTCAGATGGAGAGCCATACTTTGTGATTCACTATGTTTTTAAAATGACATTACCCAAAAGCTGGGAAAGGAATGCTCAGTGTGGCCCAGATCCAGAATTTCTGGTTCAGCATAATCTCCAGCTAGAGGGAATGCAAAGCATAAGTGTTTTTAGTATCTACATTCGATGATACTTGAAGTGAGAGAAAAGTTTGATTTGAAACAGATTACCTATCCCATCTTGTAAAAAGGACAGGCTTACTCTAGCCTGAATGTATATATTACCAATTGAGATGAAGGAGTCAGATCAAATACTTGCCTCGCTAGTCTTCTCTTTTTATAGTTAATAATCAAGTTTTGATCTGCCAGTGATTAAACCTTTATTGGATGCTCTCAAGATTGTATCATAATGGAAAAAAAGCATAGGAATTAATTTCAAAGCTTCTTTCAGTAGTGGGTCTCATATATGGATGGAACTCTCAAGATTTATTTCTTTTTAGTTTTTGTATTTAAACTATGAATTTGGATTAGCTTCTTTGCCTTCTTTTTCCCTCCCTTTTTTTTTCAGGAAGTACCAGTACACGAAACAGCAGTCAGAAAGGAAGCAGTGTGTTGAGCATCAAGCAAAAATCTAGGAAAGAGCTTCTTATGGAGAAGTTTCGAGAACAAATGATCAAAGCCAAGGCCTTTACAATTAAAAAGTGAGCAATGTGAGAAATTGTGTGGGTTTGGGGGGAGGTTCCAAATAGTAAAGCGGTAAAACAGCATTTAAAAAAAAGCAGGTTACTACTTCTGTTAATTCAAAGGGATGAATGGGTACATGTACAGTTCATTGTATATCGATGCTTTCACTTGAAGTCCCACCAGCTGAACATCAGACAAATCAGCAGTTGCTCCAATAGCATCTGCCTGATAAAAAAGCTGAGTATGCTGTATGAACTTAGTTGGCTGTGTGTATTTCTACTAAACAAATGCTAATACTGTGGTTTAGAAGCAGTCAGAAAGAGGGATTGGTGTCTGTGAAGCCCTGTGCGGGCTGTCAGAGTAGATCTTGGATATCTTTAGAAACACTAAACATATCACACCCAGCCTTTCTTTTCTTCAGTGCAAATTACGGTGTTGTTAAATCACATTGCGGTCTATGTTGTTTTAGGACTCTCCAGGTATATGTGCCCATCAGACAGTTTTTCTACAATCTCATTCATCCAGACTACAGTGCAGTGACCGATGTATATGTGCTGATGTTCCTCGCAGATACAGTGGACTTCATCATCATTGTATTTGGATTTTGGGCTTTTGGGGTATGTCACGGAGGCATCTATCTGTAAATCATCGGTAGGATTTACATGCTGTAGATGCTAAGCATCATGTGACTCGCTGTTCCTGGACCACTCTGTTATATTTTCCTTTTCAGAAACATTCTGCAGCAGCAGATATCACCTCTTCATTATCAGAGGACCAGGTCCCGGAGGCATTTTTGGTGATGGTGCTCATTCAATTTGGTACCATGGTGGTAGATCGAGCACTGTACCTCAAAAAGACTGTCATGGGAAAGGTCATCTTCCAGGTCATCCTTGTTTTCGGAATACATTTCTGGATGTTCTTTATCTTGCCTGGAGTGACAGAAAGGTATAAACCGCATAAACAGACGATGCGAGTTGAATACTGGTGCTCTACCAAGTTGTTTGCATTTAAATTTGACATGGTTACAGCTCAGCTTTGGAATCATGAACAGGTTTCTTCTTGGTCTCATTTCTAAGCAGAATGTTGGAGTACCATTTCACAGCAGTAACTATGGCCAACATAAGTTTCAGGAAGAATTCATTATATAAGTATGTACTGAAATATTCTCAACTTAGGCCAAAATGCAAGCAGTTGAAAGAGAACTTGCCTCTAATTGAGTGATTAGAGCCCTCAGCTGAGGCAATCTTGGCCTCTGATTCAGTTCCCTACTCCCAAGACTGCTCCACGCTGGTTTAGAAGAGTAGAAAATGTCTCTCTCTCAGTATCTTATAATTTGGCACTTTCCTGGAATGTGTGAACTGTGGATTTAACTCTCCTTAGACTGAGGAATATCTAAAACCTGTGTCTATTCTGAAGAGCCAAAGTTCTCTGCTCCATGGCTCTGGAGGCAATGTGGAGGTGGTCACCTGCTGCATGAAATCTTGTATTGCATGCTTGGCCGGGTTCATCCCCAAATCTAACATGTCTAATTGCATGGCTCAAGGCAATTGTCACTCAGTCTGCACTGCAGAGGTGTTCAGGTTCCCTCTCTAGTGCTTGGCTAACTCCCTTCTTACTTGGGACTTTCAATGTCCTTGAAGTATTTACCTCACTCCATTGACTATACAGGGAATTTTGATGTGTCAACTGGGCAAGTTATACTTTGTTAATAGTCACATTACTTTGGAAAAAACAAAAACAAAATAGATGCATAGTGTAAAGAAAGACTGAAAGGTTTTATTTCCTCTCAGAACCAAATGTATTATTTTTCCTCATTGCAGTAGTGATTGTGCCCCAAATTGAAAAAATCATTTTTCATGTGGATCTCCTATCTACTGAGCATTAAGAATTGATATGAAACTTTTGGCTTGATTTGATAACTTGAAAGGCAATAAAATTGTTTTGATTTTTTCTGTCCTTTTATGAAATTTATATCAAGTCGTTAATCTCAAATCTGCTTCTGAAACCTCCTGTATTCCTAAATTAGGCTGTTTCTTAGAAGCCTCTGCAAATTTCTTAATGAAAATGTTTTTGTGGGATGTAATTGAAAATATTGTATCGTGTCAGGCTCACAAATCCTGACCATCATGAGGCATTTCCTGCAGTTCCACCATGCTATTGAACTGCAGCCAGAAGTGGTACATGTTCACCAAGATGGTCAGGAGGATGGAGCACACGACATGTGAGGAGAGGTTGTGGGAACAGAGTTAGTTCAGTCTGGAGAAGAGAAAGTGAGGAGCTGTCTTCAGCTACCTGTTAAGAGGGCATCAAGAAGAAGCTAAGCTGTGTTTAGATAGGACAACAGGTCACAAGTTGGAAAAAGGAAATTCCAGTTAGATATAATGAAAAATCTTTTCACCATGATGGTAATCAAACCCTGGAGCAGGTTGCCCAGACAGTTTGTGGGATCTCCATCTTCAGAGATATTCAAAACTCAACTGGACAGGTCCCTAAACAATTTGGTGTAATTAGACCTGATTTAAGCAGGGAAGTGTGAAAAAAATGATCTTCAGAGGTCACTCCAACTTAAAATCCTGTATGAGTTCACGACCTTCGAAGTGCCCCTGTGAACACAAGTAGCCATTAAAGCTGCCTAGATTCAGTGCAGATATCAGCTCACTGAAAAGCCAAGAGAAGCCGTCCCTACCAAGGGCTCACGGAAGGATGTGCCATCATGAGGGCCTGGGGCAGACTGGCCTGTGTTGGGCAGCAAGGCACCTCTAGCATCCGGAGGGAGAGGGCACTGCCCAGAGCCCTTGCTCTTCGGGAAGCCTGTTCCCAGTCTCTCCTCTGTGACCCTGAGATGACAACAGATGCTGTCTATAGACTTTCTCATCCAGAGTCTTTCAAATGCTGCTTTAACCCTGCAGTGGGTTCAGAAACCAAGGGCTTTTCACAGGATCTCAGGAAAGGGAAACTGCCAGGAGCACAAAATATTTCAAGCAAATTTGGTCATACACAGATACAAAGCTCATCATTTTCCTTTATCTGTCTTTTCCATTACAGGAAATTTAGCCATAACACAGTTGCTCAGCTCTGGTATTTCGTGAAATGTGTTTATTTTGGCTTATCAGCATATCAGATACGCTGTGGATATCCAACCCGTGTTCTTGGCAACTTCCTTACAAAAAGTTATAACTATGTCAACCTGTTCTTATTTCAAGGGTAAGTCTAGACCTACTGCCCTTCTCACTTCTTTTGTGAAATAAGGTTCTGTTATCGTGAGATGCTGGGGTTATTCATGACTTCTCTTCACAGGCTGCTGGAAATGAGACTGTAAATTTTGCACAGCACACTGTATACGCCATATGTCTCCTGTAGTCCACCAAAAATCAATTTCAGGAATGCAAGATTTCAAAAAAATCAGTCTCACACTATGAATCCAGAAGCCTGACATACCAGTCAGCCATTCAGGCCGCTATGGAAGAGACATTTTTAATGCTTCTAAGAAATCACTTCTGTGAACAGAGATAGGGGCTACACATTGAGCTAGAAAACAGGTAATGTTATTTGCTCTGCAGTCCTAAAATGTAGTAAGGCATCAAATCCCAAAGAGATCATTGGAGCAGGTCTACAAGCTCTGCCTCAGCAGGTGAGAAGGATAAAGTGAACGACAATACACATGAGAAATAAGAGCTATGCATCACAGAATGTTTTCTTTGTGTATCTTTTGTGAATTGTTGCACATTTGAAACTCTTCAGGAGTTAGGAGTGTTAGGGCAACAGGCACAGCATCACCTTGGAGTGAAAGGTGGTGTTAAGGAGATGTACTCCACCCTTCACTTATGCTGTTACCATGATGTTGTGATTAAGCCAGTTCAGAGCATATACATATTTCACAGAAAAGCTGGAATAATTTCAGCCTTTTCCCAATATTTTCAATATGGGCTTGTTGAATTCCAGTAGGAAAAGTTACAGAAGATAGCTTTCTTCACATGAAATAGTCTTTGTTACCTGGCCAAGCAGATAAGTGTGGGACTAGTAAAGGGAATGATGCACTTTGAACAGCTGCTATATGCATGTTGGTTTCCTGTTAGCCCACCTTCTTCTGCTGCTTAAGCCTGAGTCAGAACGCCCAATTCCATATGCAGCTGAGGACTGCCCAGCTACTGCAAAGAAGCTGTGCACCACTTGGTATAAGGAGGTATAAAACAAATTCCCACCATCCTGTGGAAAGGGTGTTCCTCTAGTCCTCTCCCAGGTCAGAGGAATTTGGGCATAAAAGAAAGCCTTGTACGATTCCGTCAGTGGCTCAATCACAATTACTGGGCATAATAATGCAAAAACATGTTTATGGCCTAAGAAGGAGATCTAGAGGAACACAAGCTATAACAAAAGATACCACTCCCAAAACAAACTAGCTGTACAATCTCAGGGTATGATTGTACTTGTGTTTGCAAAATCCCCCATTAAACTCTTTTGATATTGGCTTAATTCTCCCTCTTGCCATATATACTTAGTGTGCTCCTTTAATATGATCCTCCCCATTTCTGACAAATTATCTGCTGTGGTCTTCCTTCAGATTCCGCCTGGTTCCCTTTTTGACTGAGCTGAGAGCAGTAATGGACTGGGTTTGGACTGACACCACTCTCAGTCTTTCCAGCTGGATCTGTGTTGAAGATATCTATGCTCATATATTCATCCTGAAGTGCTGGAGAGAGTCAGAAAAAGTAAGGAAGCCCCATATGAGTGATCCAGGCCTCCTCTTCCCCACACAGAAATGAAGAGAAATAATCACGAATCCCTAAATAATTGGGAAATTCACCATAAAGAGAGTTTGTTAGAAGATACACCTGGTGTTTATGTTCAGAAATAGTCAGACTGTTGGGTACTTTATGTTAGTTGGCAGTCACCGCAAGTGAAATTTCAAATGGCTTCTCTTTTGTGCCTAGCTGATTTTTCCATCATTAACATGAACTCCACAAGCATGTGCATGCTAGCTTGATGTCATGCCTGAGTTTCAAGGCTGGGGTTGAAAGTCCTGGTGTTCACACAAGGTCATTTTGTCCATAACAACTAAACGAGTAACCTGCAGTAGCAGAGAAACTGTAGCTGAAGAGAAAGGTCAGTAGAAGGGAGAGCTCCTGCCTCCACCATGTAGGTCCCAGGGACACCTGGTTCATGTAACCACAGAGGGAACTCAGCTGGCTCCTTTATTTCCGGAGAGTCCCCGCACATCCAGAACTGAACTGCAGGCCAGATAAACCCACCATTTGTCTGACTGAAATTTCAGTCCCTTTAAATCATTGAAGCTTCAGTTCAAATTAAACTTGCAAATTCTGGATTCCTTATAACCACTATAAAGATTGCAACCATATGCTTGCTTATTTTGCCAATTTTAAAAAGAAATTAAGCATTCTTTTAAGAGTGACCCAACCAGTCAGAAATTGTACATCTGTGGTGAAACAGCTGTATTTTTAAGTGTTACTGACGTATTTCTACTTTTATTATAATCCTGTCTTTTAATGGCAATTACTTTCCAAGTATGTCACTTAGATTAACTCAGAGTTGGTGCACACAGGTCTTGTATATAGGCTTTTTCTGTACGACTTCCATTTCTGCCGTGAATGGCAGAATGAGTGTCGTGAGAGGCTTCAAGAGTCAAAGAAATAATCATCTAGTTCTACTTTGACTGTCCTTTTCACTGCATTTTTTTCTACGCTAGAACAGGATCCTCTGCATTGTATGTAGCATAGATCTGATGTGGGAAGATTTCCACGTCTAAGCTAGCATGTGTGTGCTAAGTAACTACTCATGACTTTATGAGTGTTGTTCATGGTACTTCGATTCTGTCTCTCACCTTGAGTGGTATGGCTAAGTAATTTGACTGCTAGAGGCTCTCTGAGCTGTTCTGTAACATCGTTAAAGGTGCCTGAACTAATCTCATATAGACAAATAATATACCTCTGGTGATCCTGATATGATATTGTAATGAAAACAGTATTCTGTAGTGCAAGATAAATGACCTGATACACTGCTTTTGAAAAGTAACTGATTTGTTTTAAGTATAGCATTGTATTACAAATTTAATATTCTCCTAGGGTGTTATGGATTCGTGTTGTAAAGCAAGAGCAATTTCCTGAAAGGCAGATTCCTGGCGTGTGTTTGAGGTGCAGTGCAATACAATGCATCTTTATTTCGCACATGCAGTATGCAGTGCGTGAAAGACAGGATCCTAAAACACTGTGTGGAGTTAAATCCTATAAGAGAATACACCAAAATAAATTGCAATGATGGTAAAGCATTTTACAGGATGGTGAAGCTATTAAAGTATTCGATCTCGGGGCCAATAGCAGAGGGTGAGAATTATGGACAAGGCAGAACAGACGTGCTGTGTGATCTGCTTTGAAAAGACAAAGATAAAAGCAAGGTCATGTTTGGTCTCAGAAGCTAAGAAAGGGAAGGTTGTCACATCAACAGTGTCAAGACTTTAGGACCAGCAACAAAACTTTAAGCATTATTTAAATGCAGTTGGTATGGGATTCACTAGAAACAGATTGGATCAAGCCTGTGGGCAACTCTTACAAATACTGTATGTGAGGTGTGAAGTGAATGTGGAAGCAGTGCAGTATCAGATAATCCTACTGATTGTGCATGTCAGTTTTTGGAAAACAAATTTATTTATTTTTTGCCCTGAAATACAGTTTGCAGCTTTTCAAGCTCTATGAGAGGAATTCTGCCTTAAGGATCTTTGAGATAAAACATTTTTGAAGGACAAATAGAAGATAGTGGGTCACTCCCAGTATCAGTTTTTTAAACAAATTGCTGTATCATTGTTGCCGCTATTATTTTACGTTTGGTTCCTGTGAGTTCATGCCTGCACTCATTCAGACAAAAAACTCAAATTACCCGACAAAATTTTCCCCTTCCTTATGGTTGTGGACAATCAAAACCACAGAGGTTTACAATATTTTTCACACCAGACACACACTTGACGTGGGTTCATTTGTCACTTTTCTCTGTTGTCACCTGAAATTCAGTGTCTGTGCAGGTTTGGCTAAAAATCTCAAAATAACTGGCCCGAAAATGGGTAGCAAATTACCACAGAAGACCGGAATCCTTAAGACCATTATATATTCACCAATCAAATCATACCAAGTGTTCCACTGATTGAAGAGACATTACCATGTTGCTGTTTGTTTTTGCAGAGATATCCCCAACCAAGAGGCCAGAAGAAAAAGAAAGTTGTGAAGTATGGAATGGGTGGCATGATTATCGTCTTGCTGATTTGTATTGTCTGGTTCCCACTGCTCTTCATGTCTTTAATCAAATCTGTTGCAGGCATCACCAACAAGCCTCTAGATGTATCAATCACAATAACTCTAGGAGGTTATCAGGTAAAAAAAAGAAGAAAGACGAAAAGCAGACTCTCTTTTTGCACTGTATTTCCGTGTGCTATTTCTTATTCCCTTCATTGAATTGAATTCTCCTGCCTTATGCAAGAGATCAGGCAAGCTCCCACAAATGATCCCTTTTGCATTTAAAAACACATTAGTGATGTAAAATATTATCTTCGTTTGTAAGTTAAAACCAGAAACTACTGGCAGTAGGATAAGTTATCCAGCATCAGATAACTGCCTACAGGTCCACATGGTAGATGTAAGGTCATTGGAGGTAGCTTGTTTCTCAGTGGAAGAAGATCATAACCTTCTCCTGTTGAACTGAGTGCCATAATTGTCTTGGATTGTGATGCACAGGATGCTGTACTCTGTATGTAGCAGCCGGTGTGAAGTAAATGTGACAAGTGTGTGTTCTTTTGTTTCCCAGCCTATTTTTACAATGAGTGCTCAACAAAGTCAGCTCAAGGATTTGAATCAGACTGGTTTCGATACGTTTCTGGGAAGCTATAGGGGTAACACTGTAAGTGAAACGTAGAATACCTCATTACTTAAATTTGTGTGTATGTTGCCATGGAGGCCTTTTGTGAGTTTTGTTTGTGTTGTTATAAATGGTCAGCAGCGCTGCCATTGTTTCAGAGATGTTTCCATAAAGAGAATTTGCAGGAGAGTAAAGGTTCAGACGGATCATTTGTCAGGATGGGGTTGGGTTATCATGAGACAAGTTACCATTAACGGAGACATATTCGCACAAAATCATGGAAGACAGAAATGCTGGTTGTCCCATCACCTGAATAAAAACCTCCCCTCTAAATGACACCAGCCTTCAGGAGATGTGAGGTTGTTGGTGTAGTGCCAAAACAAACGTGCTTGTGCTGTGGGTAGACAACAGTGTTGGCGATTTTATGCCCCATGCTCCTTCCTATAGCACACACAGCTTTCACCTCTCAGTGAGGAGATTTGGTGCTGTCAAAAGAAAATGTGTGTGGCCTGGAAAAGTTTTGACATTCAAATGTCAAAACACAAACATTTAAACGTAGTCTCACTATTTCATGGTGCAACATGCACAAAGTTATCACACGTTTCTACAGCAAAAAGACTAGTAATTAGTAGAAGCTGTTGCTTTACTAAAGTAACTGGGGCTTGATCAGATAAAACTTCAAAACAAGTGCTTGCTTCTAGCCCACTCAAAAATTAATATTTTTTTATATTAGATCCTAGCAAATAGCCCATGTATTATAGCAATAATATTGCAATCTTGATCCACTTTGAAAGTTACCAGTTTGAAGTTGCCTTATCCTTTGCAGACATCTTTCTATGCAGAAAGATGCTTGATGAAAGACAGAGTAATATTTTAATAAAAATATGAAAAATAATAAGACATGCTGTGTGTCATGTGCATCCTGAGTATTGCCAGATATTTCTGGAAGTGTGAGCCTTCCCACAGTGGCCAGGCTTGGTATGTACTTTGTACAGTGACTTACATTTTGTGGTGACCACTGGCACTATTTGGAGCTTCAGAGAAGCTGTGTGAAGTGTCAGAGGTACCAGTCAAAACTGGGGACTGGAAGATTTACAGCCTACCAGATCCACAGATATAAATGGGGTTGTCAGAAACTAAAGGAGTTAAGATAATTTTAAATGGACTCTACAGAGTTTACCTGATGAACTTTCAGGCTCATTTTGGCCTACTTGGCCATCATTCTTTGAACAGCAGGGCCGTTTTATTTTGCCTTCTTGGCTTGGCTATACTTCGTTTATTCCCCTCCCCACCGAAAGCCTAAGTTGGTACTTGAGGAAAACAATCAGTGCAAACCACTGCACTTACAATTAATCAGACATTTGCAATTCTACGTGACTGGAAGATGTGGCTCTGTGTCTTGTGAATATCACCGCAGTGAAATGTTCTTTTCCTCTTCTGCACCTACAGGGTGCTTTGCAGTTTCTAGAGGGCTATGGAAAAGAAGATATAACTCTAGCAGATCTAGAGGGAAATTCAAACTCTTTATGGACCATCAGCCCTCCCAGTAGAGAGAAAATGATCCAGGGACTGCTGGATTTTTCAGCTGAGTTCACTGTAGTTCTTTCATGGAGCATTCAAAGGTAATTAATATGACTGTTATGAGGTTGATGGATCGTTTGCGAAGCGTTCGTTCAACAGAACAGTTCCATGCTGCATTTTTGATTTAGTTTTTCAGAAAACTCTATTGTACTGCAGAGCAAAAATTCCTGAAAATGGGGAGGGAGAGAGGCAGAGAGAAGTGACCTTTGTTACATGTGAAAACATTTGTTGCCTGCAATTCTCAAGAAATAAAGAGAGAAGTGGAGCCAGTTCCAAGTACATTATTTAAAAAGGCAGGGTGGAGTTTTTGAAGGGACTTGAGGGGTAGGAGGGAAAAGTAAGAAAAATTAGCCAGTTTGAGATGGAGGTGTTCAAATAAACTGACCCAAACAATAACCTTGTAAGCATTTATGGGAACTGAATACTTAGACCTAGTTAAAGCAGAAAAACTACGAGGAAATACAAACAGAAGTGCTTGGTCCTCTTATTAAGGGAGTCCGTAACTGACACAAAATCATACACACGTACTCAGAGCCTTTCTTATGCAAATAGCATAGCAATGGCGCAGCCCCATTTTGTCAAGACCTTTGCCTGTTTGCTTGTGGTTCCTTTGGCCTCAGTGAACCATTACTTTACAATGAAGTTTTTGCAAGAGACAGGCTAGAATATAAAGTAGTTTCATGCAGGCTAGAGCACACCCAGTCACCAAGGTGGCTTGTTGGCTGCTGTCTGCCAGCTGGGATCCCTATAGACTGCTGGATTATACTGGAGTTAAGTCGTCACTCCATGGAAAATAAGTACCTTTGCAGCCCCAGTATCTACCTGTTTTGTTGGAAGTAGACCCTGTATTGTTATAGCAATCCTCAGCAAAAGACTGTGCACAAAAAGCAGGTCAGCGGAATCACTGCGGGAGCTCTGAACCCAGCGGTCAGTCCTTCCGCAGTCAAAATAGGCTTGTAATGAATCTGCACCCTTCGTTCAACTTTATTTGACAAACCCCCCCCTTTTTTTTTCTTTCCTGGAAGCATACAGTATTAGCTAGTGAATTACATCACTCCATCATTTCTGAACCTTATATTAATTTTTAATACTGCTAGTCAGTTTGCTCATATGCTTGCATAACTACAAACATTCATACACTAGTTGAAAGAGACCTTTTTCACCCTCAAACTCTATCCTGTGGATTACATTGTGACCATGAATGACTGAAAGTGGTAAAGACTTGTGAAAAGTGACCACTTTTTCTCTGTAAAGGCAAACTGCTGTCTTTCCTCTAGGCCAGGAGACCACAATCAGCTGTAAGATGAGCTTTTTGTGTCACTCAGGCAGCATGCACACTTTCTACCTTTGTCCATTGTCTGCCAGGGACGTTTCTCTGCAGCCCCCAGGAGCTGCCTCACCCAGCTGCTGCATCCCAACCACGGGGCATGGCCCAAGGTGTTGTGCGAAAGCTGATCGTGCCCCAGCTGCGTTCTGCAGCTGGTGTGGAGACTGGGGGGAGGCATGGGGGTTCCATCAGCCTGTTAGCCACACGTTCCTGCTGGGCTGAGGTGGGGTTTTGGGAAGCTGTAGCTGACTGCAGCATCCTTAGCCGCCCCAGCACAGAATATATGGTAACGCAGATGGCCCTGTTGCCTAAGGTCAGAGCAGGCGTGCTCCCTTTCCCGTTCTGTTTTCACTGACCTTATGAGCAAAATCATGTTAATCTGTCATCATTGTCCTGTAATACATACAAAGGCATAGTCAGTTAGAAAAATACGCTTTTAAGGCTGCTGCATATCCTCTGTGGGAAAACTCAGCATCTTGGGCACAGGTAGCACAATGCTTGCTTTAACAAAGACTGGGATAGCCAGGGTGAGTGCAGTTAGACTACTAGGTGTAGCGTTCAGCAAACAATTGTTTAGGTTGTACTCTCATTGCAGGTTGACAATATGTCTTCCCTTTTAATTACAACAGAAATCTCACCCTTGGTGCCAAAGCCGAAATAGCATCAGATAAACTTACTTTTGTTCTGCCAGAGAACACCAGAAGAGATATTGCCACAATGATGTCTGGACAGCAACTGGAAAAGGTGTAAGTTTGTCTATTTATAATCAAACCTTCCTTTTTTAAACCTAATTGCCTGAGGAGTGCAGGCTTGTGGAACTGTGTCATTTGTCTGCCCATCTATCCCCCTCTAATAGTTTTGGAGCCTTGTTCACAGAGGCCAACAGCATTGAAGTCACATAATAGTAACATTAAAGGTAAAAGCTTGTTTTCCTATGATAAATGTAGGCTGAGAAGACCGTGAACACTGCAGCACCACCAACAAACATGGTGAAGCTATTAGTTACCTTTGATTTACTGGATAAGCACAAGTTCATTACAGTATATTGACAGTTAAACTCTCCTTTGAGTTAATTCAGTTCAATTTGATCTGAGGGTGCTGTATTGGTGATTTTTTTGTTCTAAATAACCATGCAGACTGTATTTCTCATTGTTATTCTTGAACAGTATTAGATTGGCAAGGAAGTGTTAAATCATTGCGGTCAAAGGGTAACATCTGCAGTCGTTTGACATCAGATCTTTTCCTGTAATGGAAATTCACAATATGAATATCAAACATTATTGTATGGATATAGCCTTATAGCATTAACAGCAGTGGTGCCTGATTTGAAAGGAGTTTGGCTCTTCCTCTTCCGCCTGCTCGCTGGGGATTACTTTACAGCAGTAGTCTCTAAATACTGCTAAGCCAACACGTCATCCCTGGAGGCCACCTGATCTGATTTGTGGCCACAAGAGTTGAAAAGTTAAAGCTGAGGCCAGCTGGGATAGTGTAAACTCTGAGAGGTTCATATCTGTTAGTAGGTGGAAATGACATTTGTCTTTTCTGAGCACAGCTATTTTTCTGTGCCCACGCACACTTGTATGTCCAAACAGATTGCTGTTGCACATCTGAACATTGCATTTAACAAATAGTTTATGCCTCTTTTACTTTTCTGCTGTGTGAGGATACGGGAATATTTCCTAAGGTGATGTAGTGCCAAGGAGGGTAGATTTTGCTTTTTTGTAGGAAGGGGCGATTCATTCGTAATTCTCTCTTTGCAGGAGGCAAGCAGTTACATAGAAGATACACCTGCATTTGCCTGTATTGCAATAATTTTCTTGATTTAAGCTTTTTTTACTTTGTCATAAAGGAAAAATAATTGCAGCAGCTAGTAGCCATTTGGTCACTTCAGCAGGGAGCTTTGTGCCACCACCTTTGCTGGGAGCACTCAGCTGCTGAGCTCTTACTTATCTTTTGGGCCTGCTGAAGTGATCAGGAGGGATTTTAAACTGGCTGCCTCTGTTCTTCGTCAACCTAGTGTATGCAAGGTAGTGAAGTGTCACAGGACTTCCCTGAGAGGCCCCCTTCCCTAGATTTTTTCACTCATTTGAAGAAAAAGTTAGGACAGTATCTCATTTTTAAATGTAATATCTCTCTCTCTGGGTGCTGGTAATTTATTCCCGCTTAAGGTGATTTAATTTTGAGTCCAATGGAAGAACTTCTACAAACATCTTTCCTTTTAAGTTTGAAGTTGTCCTGCAAACTGTGAAAATATTTCCCAGTGAAAGATTCTGGCTGTTTTCAGGTGTTACTATTGCAACATCTTGCAATTCTGAAGTAATAACTGTTCTCACCACATATTTTTCTAGCTACATATTTTTCTAACTTGTTTACTACTGGTGATGTTTTGCCTTTCTTTGTGCTGCTTATATAGCTGACTATAAAAGCAGCTTTGTTAGAAAGGGGAACAAAATATAAAGTCTACATTCCTTGCAAACACACATGCCCCAGGTGTGTGGGATTCATGGTGTGTGAATGGCGACATTATGGATGGAGCTCCCTGCTGAAGCACTGACAGAACATAGTTAATAAATCCAGCTAACTTTCAGATGTGACATCTGAACACTATAAAATCATAGTTTAAGCCAAGAATTACTGGGAACTGTGTATAGCCCTGTTAGGTATTTCTAAATTATTTTAGAGGTATAAAAATATGAAATATTTGCTTTCTCATTTTTTCCAGAACATTAGAGACAGTGTACCCGTACTACATCAAGGCTCCTAGTGATTCTCTGGCAAAACCCATAAAGCAGCTATTGACAGGTATGTGTCCAGACCACAGAAAACAGAATATGGTTGAAAGAAGTGCAACACAGTGCTCACACTTGCCCATTCACTGAGCTGTTATGGGGCACCTCAGGCTGAAATGCACTTTTAATGGTTTCTACCTGGTGCCTGCAAGCTTGGGGAGAGATGAGGTAATGCAGTATAAGGCAGAAAATGCATCTGGATGTACTTTAGCTTTGTATTCAACAGTCAAGACTCTAAAGGATGAAGTCAGGCTCCTTTCTTTCAAGTCTGCTTTCAGGAACTGCTTTCCCTTGTTTTTTTGAGGAAGTGATGACAAGTTTCACTTCTCCGCATCTCCCTGCTACCTTACCACAAACAGTCAGTAGTGCTGCATGTCTGCAAAGGTAGCTCCTCAGCTTAAACAACGACACTGGATGACTTTTTTTTAGCTATTACTTGCTTATTGGCTACAAAGAATCCAGGTTAGATAAATCACTAAATTTCAGAGTGCTGTTACCCAACCAGGATGCATACAGGTACTCACAGACATAGGGAATACATGCATGCACATGCTCATATCTGCACGTGAAAAACCTGTTGGGTTGAAAGAGTACAAACAGGTCTTTATCTAAGAACACTTTGCTCAACAGAGGTTAAATTTGGCACTTGGGTGTAGTAGTAGTACTATGTGGTACATTACTGTTCAAGGTTTAGTAATCATCATTAGATTAACTGGGAAAATTAATTCTTGAGGCTGAACCTCGCTCTATGAGTAGCAATGACTGCTTCACTGTCATTAGTCAGGTCATGTCCTAAAGAACTCTGAATGTGAGATTTTTCGAAGGGGCTTTAATGTATACACTGCTAATGTACGTTCCCCAGAAATTAGGAGCACCAGAGTTTTTGTCCTGTCTGTTTGATCAGTATGCATAATAGGATAGTATGCTTTTCTTGATGTAAGAGAATAACATCTTTTATACCAAGACAAAAATGATTTACAGTGATAGTTTCACTTGGACATATAGAAGCTGACCATTATCCTTCCAGGTTAAATGTGTTTCTTTAGGCCTGAGATGCAGACGTGCTGACCATCAGTGATACTTTGGCCTGAAAATATTTAAATGATTTGACAGTTGTACAGAAGAAAACGTAGGTGATATGAAACAGAAGTATCTGACTCAAAACAGTTTGACTTTTGCAATTCTTGGTATATATATCAACATATCCTTTTTTCAATAGACTGCAGATGGGAAAACATTACAGTTTCCCTGGTCAAAAATGTGTCCGATGAGGGAGTTCGTGAGTGGTGGGTTTTGAATCAGCTTGGAAAAAGATACAAAACGTCTGAAGAGAGTCTTGAACTCTTCATATTCAGTGATAAAGTCAGTCCACCAAGCCTTGGATTCTTAGCTGGTTACGGGTAAGAAGGCATTTTTACATACAATTAAATTAACGTAGGTAAGATAGAAGTAGAGGTGACTTTATTTGCTGGGGTTTGGGGTGTTATTTCTTTTTTGTTATTGTAATGTTTGAAGCTCCAGAAAAGGGGTTTTGTGAGAGTTTCAAATTCATGCCCATTACTATTGTCCATACAAAGTGTCATATTTGTAAGGAATGGTGTTATGCTTGATACCTGCTCTCCAGTGGGAAAAAAGGCAGAAGCACCCTTCGCACTGATTTCCTGTTGAAGTAAAATCCTTCAAAATTTGTTAGTTTAGCTACAGGTCAAGTTCTACCCAAACTCTGACCAGTTTTGGTGACCTTCCCAATCTCATAGCCAGGACCCTGGGTATGAAATAGTTATAAAATCCATCTCCACAGACAGAAGAAGGCAGGAGACTGTGCCTTCCTGGGACATATGCCCTTCTGGCATGATTTTGGAGAACTCCTTATAGGAGAATTATCAGGGGAGGCCAGGTAAATGTTAGTCTGTCACCAGTTACACGTGCTTTAATAAAAAATATTAGATATGAAACCTGACAGAACATTTGCCTTTAGTAGACAGCAGTTGTCAGATTTCCCATTGTGGCTTCCAAGCTGTAGCAGGCAGGACGTGAGACCATCAGTGACTGGTGTTAAACCATTTAAGTCAGCAGCCTCAGCTGTTTATGTTCCCAGGTTTCTGTGGTGTTTGAAGAGACCTTATTTTCCTTCATCCTGCAGCACAGCAGAAACAAGATCCTAATTAGAGATTAATGTTCACTCAGCTGACAGACTACACTTAGCCATGTAGATTACCTCCCTCATACTTGGCTGACCCTTTTTCAAGGTGTGATTTGAACTCTTTCCTTTCTTTCTTTCTTTTCAGCATCATGGGACTATATGCCTCGGTTGTCCTGGTGATAGGGAAGTTCGTCCGTGAATTTTTCAGTGGGATCTCTCACTCCATCATGTTTGAGGAGCTACCCAATGTAGACCGAATCTTGAAGTTGTGTACCGACATTTTCTTAGTGCGAGAGACTGGAGAACTGGAACTAGAGGAAGACCTGTATGCCAAACTAATATTCCTATATCGCTCACCAGAGACTATGATCAAGTGGACTAGGGAAAAAACTAATTGATCTCTTTGGTGTCACACTGCAAATCGAGTTGATTTCATCTGAATTTTAAAGGAAAAAAAAAAAAGCACAATATTCTCTTAAGAGCTAAGCCTTTTATAGTTAGGTAGCAATGATTTTTCACTGAAGGAGTCCTGGAAGCTACGGCCTTAGGAATCCATGCTGCCTTTCAAATTAAGGATCAACAGTGAATAAGGTTGGATGATTTGTTGTTTTTAATGTGCCACTCCTCTACAATCTGGGGACTGCTTTGTAATTTAATCAACAAAAAGTTTGCATCTTTGTCTGGCTAATTTAATTTTCCAGACCATCATTACAACTTCAAGAGAAAAGAAAGGAGTGAACCCACAGATGACTCCAGTGTACCTTCTTAACCCTTTCTGGAGCCATTCAGATTGGATTGTGCAATATGCTGTTGTACATCACTGACTTTCAAACTACAGTAATGGGACGCTGACTAGCCTTCAGGACACCCAAGACCCAGGGCCGCAGTGGGAACTGAAGACATTCTAGCCCTACCCATTTGTAGAAAAGCAGAGGTTTTGATGTACAAAGGACACTGTGGACAAGCCTCTGTTAGCAAAAAGCAAACAAGTAACAATCTCTTTAAATGCCTTATTTTATTTGTACAGTCACAGAAAACATTTCCACCAAACATCAGTGACTTTTCTCAGGAAAAAAAAAAAGCAACTGAAACTTCAAACTTCGTCAAGGTTAACTAATGGCTAGAATAATTATGGTGAATTATTGGGGTGTTCTGCTGGGCCATTCTCTTCAAAGTTACTGCTTTCCATTAGATGAGAAAAGAAAGTGAAATCAATGACCTAAAGAGCTACTTCATTTCTTATAACCCTTTAAAGACTGAATAGTGTGTGCTTCTCTCTGCTCCCTGTGACATGCTTTTTCCCATTTCGATGATTTAAGGCAACTGTTGTTTTGCTGTTAGCTGATATTCTTCTTCCAGTGTTTCAGGTATACGAAAATGTTTACATACTCCAAGTCACATTTTTACATCTGAGACGGGTTTTTTTTAAGTTCCCAAATACAGACATACATACGAGCTTGAAAAATGGCCCTTTTCTTAAATTACTATTATTAGTGACACAAATGGCTCATTAGAGAACATTGTAGCATGAAAATTTACAATTGCAATGCAGGTTTCATTCCATGTTGAAAAAATTACTGAGAAAAAAAATCATTGAGTGGGTAGGGTATGTTAAAAGGGTATACTGTGTAGCTTTGACTGAGTAATGACTTAAAATAAAGCACATGTTGCAAAGTCATTTTGGAAGTATTTTTTCCTCTGCCTTTTTACATGAAATGGGAAAAGTTTGACGTTATTCTAACTCTGTGACAAATAAATCTCTTTCTTGTAGTTAGCTGCTATTTATTATATGAATGATTAGTTAATCACCGGAAAGAAACTAATACAACATAAATTGCTGGCACATTTTACTGCAGAACTTCATAAAACAGCACAACTAAATGAAGTTGCAACATACTCTGCTGAGTGCTTCCATGACAAGTGCTGTCACATCCATTCTATACTGTGAAAACTAACATTTTGAGCACCATGAAGTGCACAAAATAAAAATCGCTTCATCAGATTGTAACAATAAAATCACTTGGTGACTGGAACTCACTGGAAGACAACCTGATCTCCTCCAAACTGTAATGGAAAGGTGGCTGATCATACAGCCAGGCAGCATTCCCCACCGGAGAGTTTTGCTCCATTTCTTCCATAGGACCTGTGAATGAAAATCAAAATATACAGGGCAGACCTGACACAGGATCCAACAGGGATGCTAAAATGTCTTGTGGGGTTAGATGGATCTCGCCTGGGTGTTCAGTGATTTTAAGGAGAGCAACACTGGAATGAAAAATGTGAAGGGTGTAATGTGTTTCTAAAGGTACCAGCCAGCAGAACCATACTGGCCACAGTTGGTCCTGGATCCCTTCCTGGTTCCTTCTCTTTAATGGGCACTTCCTTTCTGGTGAGAAAAATCTAGCTGCAAAATGAGCTGTACAGTTATTTGAGCTTTGCAGAAATGTGCTGCTCTTTCTTTCATGGACTGATCAGACTTTGAAAATAAAATGATTCTTCTGTTGGTTTTTAATTTATTTTTTTAAAACAGCTTATAGTCAAATCGGTGGCATAGGCTGGATGGCTAACTACAAGTAGGTGAAAAGTGTACTGCTGATGACCATCCTTTGAGCCCAGCTGTCCAGATAAAGTGGAACTGGCAGCCAGTTTCTTGTGGCATTCTTTGGGGAATCAGTACTGGGGCCAGTACTATCTAATGTCTTAATTAGCAACCTGGAGGACACAACAGAGTGCACTTTCACCAAGTTTGTGGACCACACATAATCTGGGTCTGAGGAAGTTTATGATAACATAAGTGTGTCAGCTGCGCTCCTGGGGCATGGGGTGGGCAGGACTGACTTTCAAGGGGATCTCAAGATGCTGGAGAAATGAGCTGCCAGGTACTTCATATAGTCCAACTAAGACAAATGCAAAGTCCTGCGTCTGAGGCAGACTTAACTCCATGCAGCAATTCAGTCTGGGCAGGTAGGAAGGGAACAGATTTACAATAAAAGGAGCCGAGGCCGGGGGGGGGAGTTGCATGTATATCAGCAGTGTGCCCAGCATACTTGGCTGCGTTTACAAATCACACCTGAAAATCAAGGGAATTATTAGTCCCCTCTATTCAGCACTTGTGGGACCACATCTGGAGAACTGCATACAGGTTTGGGGTCTCCAGTGCAAGAAAGACACTGACATACTGGAGTGAGTCTGGGAGAGGGCTGGAGGACAAAACATGTGAGGAGGGACTGAGGTAGCTGTGCTTGTTCAGCCTTAAAAAGGAGAAGTACAAGGGGAGACGTTATTGGTCTCTGCAGCTCCCTGATGGTGAGGTACAGGAAAGGTGGAGCCAAGCTCCACAGAGCTGCACAACAATAGATCAAGAGGCAACAGACACAAGTTGCAACAAGGGGGAGTCTGATTAAATAGAAGGAATATTGTTTTCACCATGAGAGTAGTCAAACACTGGAGCAAGTGCCCAGAGAAGCTGTGGGATCTTCAGCCTTGGAGATTTTCAAATTTTGACTGGAGAGGTCCTGAGCAACCTGTTGTAACTGGCCATGCTTTGCATGGGAGGTTTGACCTGAAGCCTCCTGAGGTCCCGTACAACCTGAATTATGCCATGATTTTAGGACTGCGCCAGAGATACTGTAGCTTACCAAAGACAGCGTATTGGCTAATGTAACAACCACCTCCAAAATGTCAGAATAAAGTCATCGTGTTCAAAGCAACAGTATGGTTACACAGGAATATTTGTACCTACAGACATGCCTTAGTAAGCCCCTGTGTCTAATTTTTCAGAGCTGAGCACTGCCAGGGAAAGGTCCTGTTTTCCCTCTTCCACCTTTGTAATCAAGAAATTATGGCTCACAAGATGATAACGTAAGCCACTACCTATACACATGGACCGAATTGGATCGATGGGATTAAATGGCATTTTAGAAGGTTATCAGGACAGACTTAAATGAAACAGATCCTTGTGGTTATTCTCCCAGGTTTTAGGACCTTTCTGTTTTGTTCAATACAGGAGAAGCTCTTCAATGGAACAAGCCTAGGTAAGAAAAGAAGAAACAGCCTTAAAATAAAGTCAATTTTATTTTATAAGCATCAGTGTTGTTACTTTCCTTCGAGGACTTAATATTTTAGTGTTTCCAAAGAAACTGCACATTCAAAGCTGTGCCAGGGGAGGTTCAGACTGGACATGAGGAAGCGTTTCTTTACCGAGAGGTTGGTCAAACCCTGGAACAGGCTTCCTGGAGAGGTGCTCAATGCCCCAAGCCTGTCAGTGTTGCAGAGGTGTTTGGACAATGCCCTTAACAACATGCTTTAACTTTTGGTCAGCCCTGAAGTGGTCAGGTAGTTGGGCCAGATGATCGTTGTAGGTCCCTTCCAACTGAAAGGGTCTAGTCTATTCTGTTCCTCAGTGTCAGCAATAAAAAATTTCATGTCCATGGTACTGTCACAAAAGGCATTTTTTCCAACCTAGCCCACAGCTTTTGTGACAAGAAATTGCAAAATGGTTTCTTTATGGGGCTGAACTATGCTGATAGTCCACAAAACCCACCCTCGTACCATGGAGAGTCAGAGTGCTGAACCTACGCTTTTCTGACCATTAGTACTGTTAGGGGAGGACAAACTTCAACATAAGATCGCTGCTCAGGGCCTTGGCCAGCTGTGGTCTAGCAGCCTCCAAAGACGGCAACGTCACAACTCCTCCGGTCTGTCCCAGTGCTTAACCACCCTGAAGGTGAACAGAGGTTATCCCCATATCGGTTTGGATTTCCTTCTCGCAGATTTGTAGCATGACAACTTGTCCTTTCTGCTGGGAGCCACTGTGTGTATAAAGTGTCCAGCAAACAGGGTCTGCAGCCTCTCAACTGTGCTGCCCTCATTAGAGGACCACTCTGGAAGTGGCCTGGCCACCAGGCACCTCTTCAGATGCCCCGGACCACGGCCCAGTGAACTAGTTAACAGGTAACCACAGCTCTGAGGCCAAACTAAAGGAGAAATTTGCAAAATGCAGATCACATTATGGTTACCCCATATTAACAGCATTGTGATTAGTACAACCAGCCTGATGAACACATTTATGAGAGAGTACGGTTCCTCTATTCAGCTGGCAGGAAAATTGCTTTCCAGGTGCTGGCAAAGGACATGCTGTTTCTGCTGTGCTTCTTCAGGAAATGGTGACATGGCCTGTTTCAATGTCCAAGATGGAGAACCAGGCATGGAGGAAGGATGCCAAGTCTGATGAGACCTAATGCTGGCACTGTTACGTTGGTGAATACTCAGTCCAAGGAGTGTTTGGAGCATTTCCTGAGTGCTTGGCTATCACCTTTATGCAGGAGCTTCACTTTACATGAGAGCCAGGAGACTGTGAAGGGATTTCGTCTGATTCCTGTGGTGCTTCCTCCAAAATGTTTGATCTCCCAGGGGAGCTGCTGCTGTCTGGAAAGCACCCAGCAGCTCGTTTCAGTAAATGTCACCAAGGTGCTGCATCAGGACAACAGCAACTACCCAACCCCGTTGCTCCTGAGCAGATCAGCCTGCTCTCTCACATGAAATAAGGTGCCAAAGGGGGGTGGTTGTCCCTGAGGTCTGTTACTAGTGAGTCCCTGCAGCTTCTGCACGCCTTTGCCATACACCATGAACTTGTGGCTGCCCTCTTCATACCCCATTTTTATTCTTCTACACAGCAGCCAGTGTCAGAAGACAAAAAAGCCGTGATTCTTTGTGAACTGTTACCACATCAAGGTATCCCCAATTACCATTCTCTCTTGCACTTAAATAAATAAATAATAACTGAACTACCTGAAAATGGACCCCTCAGCAGTTTCTGCCTCAGATTCACTCCTGCGTAGAAAGGGGCACGCAGCTGCCTGGCCAGGGGAGAAGCCCGAGACCCAGAGCTGAACTCTGCTTTCTGTTTCCTCACCTTCCCACAAACTCACCCTTTAAACAGAAGCAATTGCTTTTTATTTTTTAACCCAATTTTCTAGTGAGGTAAAAGGTGAAAGGTGAGGTGATAATTTCCCTCTCTGAGATACAGCACTCATTAGCCAGAGGGGTAAAAGGCCATCACGGTTGTCAGCACTACACTGTCAGAAAACACGTTCTCATACTGCCCCTCTCCCAACAAACTCAGGCAGTTCCTGCAGCATCAAGCACTAAACTGAAGATGAT